TAGTAGTAGTAGTAGTAGTGGTGTTCAAAAGAGTGGTAGTGGTATTGGTAGTAGTGGCGGCAGCAGTGGTGTTGTTGGTGGTGCTGCTGAGAGTAAGAGCAAAAACAAGGGCGCAGTCATACCATAATGACCAACAGTAGCACCAGTCGAAGTCATGATAATGATAGTGATGCACATGCTACGCAGTGGGTGTAGATCACAGACTCTGCATGTCGATGACGGTATCAGAAGAACCATCTCGGCGGTGTTTGCATCAGGTACAAGCCGACCGAGCCAGCAGCCTCGCGAAGCCGGGGATTTGGAATCCCAGTGATTGCTTCACCTGCCTGGTGTCCATGCAAATGTACCGCGACGGCAATTGCTCCCCTGCTACTCCTAACTGACAGCTCTGAGCAGGAAGGGGGCTTGTTGTGTTTGGCCAAGTCAAAGTGGCCAGGTACAAGTTTTTTGACAAGACGCAGCTGGAGCACACCAACAGGACGAACACTTCATGACCCGCAGCCACTGTCCAACACAATTCTAGTGCTCCTGGTGGCCAGGATGTTCGCAAAGTTTCCCGACTGTCTGAAGGTGGCGTTCATCGACTGCGCAGCTTTGCTTGCAGTGCTTAACAGTTCCTGTGGCCCAAACAAGCACAAACCTGCACGCGTTGCAAACCTGCAGAGCCTTAGACAGTCAAACGGTGTTCACCTTCGCCACCGAACCCGCAAACACTGTGCCGAAAGGTTTGCCCCGCAGCCAAGGATGACAAGGGCATCACTGCAGAGTCAGACCTTGTCCATCCGAAGCAGAAGCGACGCTACTATAGTAGTCTCATCGATGCCGCCTGCGAAGACTTGCCTACAGGATTGAAGAAGGACTTTCTCTCTGCAGCCGAAATCACTTGCTTTGCTTTGTTACGTGGCCCGGGAAGGGTCCTGTGGGCTTGGCAGGCCAAGTATCGCGTGGAGCTGCCGGGCTATCCTATCCTGGGCGATGGCAAGGGTGATAACCAGAACCATGCAATTCCATTCATGCGTGGCCTTTTTACGCAATGCATCGATGCGAATCAGGGCGCCTACTTTGACTCATGGTTGCACTGAGATGACGGGCATCGTGGCCCCGCTTCTGGCCTGACCGCGGGAGTTTGGGGTGTTGTCCTCACTGAGGAGCAGATGATGTTGCTGCCCTGTGCACTCGGCTACTTGCATCAAGCAGGGATTTTACCATTGAGCTAGATCTGCAAATTTACCGTGACCGCGCGTAATTGTGGCCTAGAGGTTTGACACGGATGGGTTTCTCATCTGATCATGCAAGCAGACACGTCACGGCGACCTTCATCGCCTGTTCATGTTCAGGTCTTCCACAATACATGGAGTGTAAGCAGTTCAAGAAGGGCACCTCAAGGGATCGTGATTTTTGAGTACACACGGTTTTCGATCTAGTCTTGCGTGCAACTTTGGGTCAGCCCTTGTTCAGCAAGCTTGAGGCGAATTCCGCTCGCGACGGAGAGGTGATGGGCTGTCGAAGCGAATTGTAGGATTCCCGGAGCACATCACGAGCACTGTGGCTGCACATCAGTCCTTTGTGTGCACCTCTGCCGAGTCTGCATGTCAAATGCTTCTTACTTCGATTTCGTCACCTCATCTTGTCCGGAGTGCAATGCATCAGGTGACATCGGGTCGATTGGCGACTTCGCTGCCTCTGCTGAAGTAGCCTTCGGTACAATCCTGCAAAGAACCTATGCCCTCAAGCTGCATTGTCCCCTGTGTGCCGTGGTGCTGGCAAGCTCTGACTCACTGGAGGCAGTGCTTGGTGCCAGAATGCATTACGGCCATCCCGACATCATGAACAAGTCGCCAAGCTGAAGATGCCCAGAAGCGCCCTTGGAATGTGCCTCAGTGCCTCGCAAGCCTCTGCATGGGCGCGAAGGCTGGCCATGATGCAGCAGGGCGGTGTTTCCAAAGCGACCAAGACGGTGAACCTCTCTGAAGATATCTTCGCAGGCGCAAGGACCAAAGGCCTCTCCTGCCGACGCCCTAGCCCTGTCGCCACCTCGGCAGGTATGGACTTCACACTTCGGGGTGAAGGGAGATCCATCAAGCATTCGGAGTACTTCCATTTGGCCAAGGCAGCGCGTGTGAAAGAAGCGTCCGTGATGATGATGCTTGAAAACGATCGATGCTCCCATGGTGAATTTCGCATTCTTGCAGCCTTAACTCGGATTATTCTTTTGCAGGGCCGTGACCTTGGCTTCAACACTGTCCTGGGCTTCTTTTCCAAGCTCTCTTCCGGGACAGGTGGCTTCGCTCGCACTAAGACCGGACCGAAAAAGAAAAAGTAGCCTATGGTGACTAGATTCTAGAGCAACCTAGTAACCCTTATGAACCCTCCTACTGTAGTCACTATGTAGTACTACCTGTACCTTGTGGGAACTTTAAAGTACGTAGGTTACCCTATTCCCTTCCGTCGGTCTGAGGTGAGCAGGTCCTGACACGCCAAGCTTTCCGATTGGGCCAAGTGCTACAGCTGCCAGAGGCTCTTCCGGTTGCTCACTGCGAAGTTTTAACGGCTTTACTGTGAGGGTATCAGAACGGTTACTGCAAGGGTTGCTATGACATGTGATGGCAGAGTATTTCGAAATATGTGGCGGTGCAGGCGCTGACGTTCTATTATGCTGCTTGCCTGCAGTGTGTCACAGAGTGCTATCTTGTCACATCTCTGGGTCTGATGTGCCCTATTATGAGATCTGGTCAGCACAGAGCTTCTTACGGTTACACTGCGTCACTGAGGCGCATGTGGGATATTACTTCACGTGCCTTGGCACCACAATCGACCCGGGCTGCGGAAACTCCGCTCCGTGCGCAAGGAGCTTGGCATTGTCCGAGAGCGGGTCAGCCAAGGCAGCTCTTCGTGTCGTGGAGTATGCCCTTGCTCGTCTTTGTCTGGCTGCTAGTGCTGCTCGCAGACGAGGCCCAATCTACACAGAACCATGCAGCACAATAGGGCCCTGGCGGCCGGGAATGCACAAGACTTGCCAGGTGCGTGGCGGCGTTTTCGAGGCTTTCTTGAACCTGAACCAGGCGGCAATTGGCACAGCCGCCCGTGCTTGTAGGCAGCAAGACAAGTTCAGGACACGATGTCATCAGCTGAAGTGATGGCCAAGACTGTGGGCGTCGGACACCCAGACGCTTACAGGGAGCTCTTCTTTCTCGCACGCATGCTCTGACTCAGAGCAGGTCTGGTTCTCCTGGCTTTTGCTGCTCTTCCTGGTTGCCACCTCTCTTCCACTCTTGGCCCTTCGGCGGCAGGGCCGCTAAAGGGGCCACCCAAAATGCTCAGCACGGGGCAAAAGCAAGCGGTTCTAGTTGAGAGGGCATATGAGGGTACTTTTAGGTGGCTGGCCTTTATTCATCGGTGCATCATCGATGAATACGCTCGGCTTGAGACAACAAGAGGATCCTTTGCCGAAGCTCCTCAGACTCTGAAACTAAGATGTCCAAGGCATTAAGCTTCTGCAAGCTTAGGCTGAGATGTGGATGGAACGCAACTGCAAGGCTCACATCATGTTGAATGTTGCATTTGCAGTTGCATGTTTGATGCCTAAGGTTTCAGTCCCACCAACATGCACAAGTTGGCAACCTGTACCTCAACGGAACCTTTACCAACCATGTCAGCATGCAAGTCAGTGCGGCACTACTGTGTCCCCCAAACACATAGCCATATCGTCAAGTTGAGTGGCAGTGCACCAACGCGCCAGTCGAAACGCGGTGGGAGGATGGGAGTCGTGATGTGTTCTGCATGCCACCACCAACTCCGTAACCATCATGGAGAAATTAGGCAGTGACGCAGATACATCTTCCACGCCACGCCTTGCTGTGAGAGTCGAAACAAGATTTTTGAGCAGGGACTTTCAGAGCCGGGATCCGAAACCCGTCAGGTGGCTTTCGAGCGGTTCTTGAAGCAGATGTTCACCCTCTCGCCGAAACTCAGCCGCAACATGGCTCTCCGCAAGTAGCTTTGAGGCTCATGAATCTAGTACTTAGGCTCATGTTCATCTTCCAAGCGAAGATCATCGGCCACTACGCCGCTCGGCGATGTTGCGTCTCGTGACGGTCGTGAAGCTGGCCGAAATTACATCGCTGCGCACAGCGCGCAAGCTCCTAAACTCCTAAGTAAGCAATCAGGTCATCAACGAAATCCGCTATGGTGGGGCGACCTATGTCAACACGGGCAGAGGTTTGCCGACCGACCGCCGTCCATTTATTGGTGAGGCTTTGCCCGGCAAGTATCCCAGATGCAAGATGGCAGGAGGAACTTTTTTCGAACACGAAGCATCCTCACCGTCGCAAGCACCCACCCTTGCGCCATAATTTGAAGGTTCCAGCTGAAGAAAGTCGGAGGACTGTACTTGGACTATGCGGCCATAGCGTATTACGTTACCGGGCAACACTCGGTCCGAGCATTTCGGTGCTTTGCAGCTTCGCTTGGCGAATCTGAGGATGGAGTGACCTTGTTGGCTGGAGTTGTGCTGATCTTGGTTGCTGGCGGCGTGTCAGGCACGGGATGGCCTGCATATCTTCACTAAAGCCTTCTTTCTAACTTATTTATATCCCATTCACCATCGAAGCAGTGTGTTAAACTGCAGACAGAAAGCCTGATGGTGATCTTGCCATGCAGGCCTCATTTGTACTCACCCTGCAAATGTTTGCTAGAGGTGCAGGTGAGTTCGCTGGAGACGTTTGGTGGATCTTCATCTGCTTGGGTCTGACAGTGGCCTCATGGCTATGGGCATCTCGGCTAGAAGCAGAGCGGCCGACTCAAATGTTGCTTGCAGCTGCACACTTGCAGTCCCACACGTCCACTTCAAAACTCACAACCCATGGTTGTGCAGGCACCCTTCATATTCAATCCCTACCAGCTGCTCGGGCGCATTTCTCCTCACGCTGTTCGAAGTTTAGCCGGAGGCACATTCTGCTAGTCCAGTCCCAGCTAGCAGCTGTCAAGGTTCGTGTGGAAGCACTTCAAGGAGGCCAACACTATCTGATAGAGCATGATAAACGGGGACCGTAGCTGAAGTTCGTCTGGGGAGTAGCGACTGTAGCGACCGATCTCCGATACACTTTGCGCAGCTCATCTCGGCTTCAAGGAAGAGGGGATCAGATGGGCTCTGCCTGCGGTGCCGAGGCCCAGGTCCAACCACATTCGCCGGTCCGGGCTCTGTCAGAGGAGCTTGCAGCTCTCACGCGGGAAGTCGCAGGTTTAAGGTCCCTGGAGTTCGAGGCGAATGATCCAAAAAGCTGGCAGCAGACGGCAACGGTTCAGGACTTTGTCCAGAACCCTCTGCTGACCCAGCTTCGCAAGGGAGGTCCATCACTCGGCGATCCGAGCATCCTTGAAGTTTCAGGTTGCTACCATCTCTTCGTGCCCTGTTCCCAAGGGATTCTCCATCTTTCCTCTCAAGATGGGCTGTCAAATTGGAACACGTCAGAACTGGCGGTGAACGTACCTGGAGCCGTTGGCCCTTTCGTCCGCCTGCTCGAGGGCGTGGTGCACCTCTTCTATGAGCAGCGTGGCGAGTCCGCGTTCCAACCTGCGTCCATCTTCCTTAAGACAGCTCCGGTTTTGGAGGGGTCAAAGGCTTGGCAGTGGAGCAAGCCACGCCAGGTGTTGGAACCGCAGCTGGAGTGGGAGAAGGTTGGCAAGTCGCGTGTCGGCAACCCCTTCGTTGTGTTCGATGAGAAAGCCGTACGCTGGCTCTTGTACTACTCGGCGTCCCTTACTTTCTTGACGGATGCCAGGATCGATGATCCCCAGCCGCTGTTCATTGGCCTCGCAGAGGCGCCTGCCGCTGAAGGGCCTTATCGCCGGCTGCAAGAGACACCCCTCTTCCGGACTGCCTCGGATGTCCATCCACAGATTATTGGAGCTGGCTCCTTCAAGATAATTCAGGGCTTCGATACGCTGAGTCGGCGCGACTCGAGCTACGATGCCCTGGACCATGGATCCCCACGAAAGCTGCTAGCGCTGCAGAGCAGGCTTACACGGACTGCCCTTGGCATCACTGGTTCAAGCTTTGCGCTTTTGGCCAGCGAGGACGGTCTTTCTTGGGATGTACTTGATGCCCACTTTCTTATGCCTGTGCAGAGACCAGGCTGGAACATTGATTACATGCTGTCATTTGACACGCTGATGCCTTCTTCAGATGCGAACCACGTTTTCCTGTACTACCATGCTCGCGAAGGGCAACCCGGCTCCAGCGGGTGTGTCGGAGTGGCCCGAATTCAGCGATCGTTTCTGGAAGAACTGTCCTGCAGCCAGGCGACTCGAGTTAGAGCATAGTCTTGAAGACTTAGTGCCTTTGCATGATCCTATCGGTTTGAGCCCGACAGGTTTTAAAAGCTGTCTTCGTCGTCGTAGATGGAGCACATGGGGACCTTTCCACACCTTGACAGGCAAAGCCTGCAAGAACATGTCGTGACAGTGCGGGTACTGCTTTCTATTGGCATCAGTTTCGTCGACAATCAAGCACGTAAGGCTGGCACAGTGTCCCGAAAGTGGTCTGCCTGCCGCGACGTTTTTCACGGCCTTAGATCCTCCAACGTAGAACGGGGCGTGATCAGAATTTTCAAAAGACTCGCCGGGGCGGATTGGGATGCATACCGCACAGGGTGCGCAGCCACGTTGTCCAGGACTTTCGTGGTCTGGTGGCTTTCTTCTTGGAGGACGGAGCCTGCGTTGCACCTACGAATGCTTGAGTACCTGAAGCCGGGGCTACTGGGCAGGGAAGTGGCCGCCACTGGGTCGAGTGGTACGATCGCACTCAGCTGAAACCGCGCAGTGGCGGGCTGCACCGATCGATGGTGGACATCACGCCACCAGACTTCACAAGCTCTGATTTCTCACTTGTAGCCTTTGATTTCAATGATATGCAATGGCAAGAAATCTCAGGTTTGTGGTCGCAGTCTTCTTCCTGGCTGCATGGTACGCAATGATCAACATGAAGATCGACGCACTTATGTTGGCCTATTCAGGCCAATTTCAGCAACGCCACGCTTGCTTGGGGACTTGCTGATGCGATGACAGGTGCTGTCTCGGGCAACATGCTGCACATTGTTTCTCGGCTTCTTGATGCGTAATCTTCGCTTCCATATTCGTTTACCGGGCTTGCCGGCTGCTGAAGGGGCGCGCTGTAGCCTCATAAGTCAGCCGAATGTCGCTGGTGAGCTTCAAGCCTTCGAGTCCCCACTCGCCGCTCTTCCTTGAGGCAGTTCTCCTGCCACCGATCGGAGCTTCATCTGTGCATCTCGGCTTGTCTAGAAGTGCGGTCTTATGACACTGTGAGGTGTGGAGACCTGGAAACCTTCTGGGTTGCAACAAACAGAAGAGCTCCGACACGAGCAACCGTGATCACAACAGAGCAGATAAGTCGTCTCGTCGCTCCAAAAGCAGAGGGCCTCACGAAGAGCAAAGATGTGGTCCGCCCCAGTCATTGCCTCATGCAGCCAATTGAGGAAGCAAGTTATTCAGAGTTCGCAGCCGGCAAACATGCGCGGGCTGTCAGAAGCAAAGGCAAAACTAACCGAGACCAAGCGGTGATTTCAAGTGGAGAAGCGGGGCTAGCAGCAACCGCAGCAAACGGCCATCCGGAGTTCTGACATATTTGGATACCAGTTCTCGCACCTGTAAGCTCTGAGGTACTGTATTCTGGCCGTCCTCTTTGAGACGCTAGTTGGCTGCTCTTCAATTCTTCGCCGACGGCTGCTGAGACCAAAGCGCTCGCCGACCGGCAGCAGAAGCGGAGCCACTCCAAAGTTCAAGCGAAAAGAGATCTTGATCAGCCGAGCCCGTTGGCTCAGGAAAGCCAAGAGTTTCAGATTTCGCTCGGCGAAATCTTCTGGCACTGAGGACGGCCCTAAGCGACATGAGCGTCTGGCCGCATGAGACTGCAGCCTGTTGCTTCCGCCCGAGCTGCATTCGCTGTATCTCAGGAGGCAAAGCGTGGCGCTGCCGCTGCCCCGGCCTCAAGCCCAAGATTCGGGTTTGCTCATAGCATGTCCAGAGCGCTGCCAGGCCCGCCGCGATGTCGAAACCGGTACTCGCGAGTCGACTGCCGTGACAGAAGAAGAAGAGGACGAGGCAGGCAGCAGAAAGAAGAAGTGGCTCAAGTTGTACACAAGTAAATAAGTTTGGTTTGTGGCCAGAGACGACAACTCCACACCGTCTGATTCGTCTTGTCACCCTCGGTTGGTGGCCCTTCTAACCATATTACCATTTCATGCATCCAGCCGTCGAATCTGACAGGAGGAGGAAGCGCCACATGCAACTGCTCAGGCCAGAAGAGCTCATTTCCTGCCGAAAGTGATGGAAAGTTCGCTCGTTAGTAATAACCATAAATAGAGTGTGAATATGATATGAGCAGAGGATAAATGAAACATGGATTGCCAGGACCGTGAAGTGGCCCCTGCACCGGCCAGTGCGGCACCTGGACCCGTCGACACGCCTCAGGGCCAGGAGGTGCGCTGACCTTCTGTCTTTGCCCGTCGATTCGGAAGTAAGCCAGACATCTCATTCAAAGGCTCCACCTCGACAATGCTGCAGCCTGTCATGCAGTAGGGCAGGGGTTTGGGGCTGCGTGATGTGCTGTGACAGCTTTGCGGCACTTCAGCTTGCACCGAAGGCGAGTTTGGCATCCCGCTCCTTGGGAGAGTTGTGCTTTGATCATGTCGAGTCCGGAGCCGGCTTCGCGTCTTTTTCCGAAGCCTCCAAGGCTGACTTTTTCAGCTTGGACGGTCTCGTGCCTTGACCTGGCAGAAGCAGCATCTCGCCTTGGATTGCAGAGTTGTTGAGGCTGGGCTTCATTCTCAGTTTGTCACCCACGACCGCTGGTGCCAAGGTCTATGCGATCTATGTCTTCATTGTAATTGGGTGGAGGACATGGATGCACAGCTTTTCTCGAAGTGCACCAGTTCAGCCCTGGCAGGAACGCATTCGTTGCCGGATTCATTCTGAAATGGGGTTTGCTGATCATGTGCATCTTCTTTGGCACCTGGGCTGAGAAGTCAGGGAGTCTCGAATCATTCACATCTTTGAGCCTTCGCGACTTTGCTATCACCGAGGTGAAGGCATGCTGCGGTGTCTTGGCATTTTAGGTTCCATCTCGGAAGAAAGCACGTGACCTGCATCCGGCCATTTGAAGCACCTTCCGACGTAAGGGCGCGCTGCTGCAACCTCCTGGGCTGCTGTGGTTTGCCCTTGCAGCCACTTGGGCCTGTATTTGGACCTGCTTTCATTGGCAGCGCGACTCCGTGGCTTGAGGCTCTGGGTTCGTGCTCATCGAATGTCGCGCGACATCATGGTGCCATGAGCTCAGCGCTGCCAGTGCCAGCAGATCGGTCAAGCTAGAGGAGAGTGCTGCCACCGGAAGCCGTGGCTCGATAGCTCACACTTCACAGTGCCTTCGGGCATAATTGTTTGCCAAATGCTTGGGCGTTGGGCCCTTTTCTCGATAGCCTTTGTCCAGAGCCATGCTCACCGACTGCGTGGCGGCAGTGAGCAGCTCGAGCGGGGCGACTGGCTGGATTCCAGGCTGCTGAACGTGCGGATGTGGACCTGGAACTCCGGGAAGGCCGACTTGAGGGAGGAAGCTTTCAGGCTCTCGCAGACCGACGCCGACTTCATCGTTAGCTGTCAAACCGAGGCATCGAAGCCACTACGCGACTGGATGCCGGCACAGTGGAAGGAAGTGGCACATGGGCAGCACTGGGGTGCTGCTGGAGGCAACATCAATGCTCAAATGGCTTCCTTATTTGCACGGCATCCGCTCAATGGCGAGCTCATCGGCAACTCTTCCGAGGTGATTGGAATGAAACCGTGGAGCAGCTACCTAGGACATGAGAACAACATGTCTTTCGCGAACAGCGACGCGGCATCCCAAGTCTTGCTCTTCAAGGCTCAGACGCAGGTCTTAGCCTCGGACTACAAGGGAAAGGGCGGTGTGGCCATGTCGCTCAGCTTCCCTGCATCTCATGCACGGCCCGCCACGCGGGTGGACTTCATTTGCGCCCATCTCGACAGCGAGGCCGCAACGAGCCGCCGCATGGGCATCACTTACTTGTTGTCCAAACTGCGAGCCCGTAACAAGAAGAGCAAGATTTTGAGCGAGGATGTGATCTCGAAATCGGGGGATCTCAAAAAGCCCTGTGGCATCTTCGATCGAGATTCCCCGACCTGTGACCTTCCGGAAGTCAAAGGCTTAGACCAAGGACCTGATGCAGTTGTCATGCTCGGTGATCTCAATTTCCGCCTGCGGCAGGGGGAACTTGGAGAAAGCGAAGATCCACTCAGCACCATCGAAGCGCAGCTCTTGTCCCCAGCTGGTCGTCGCAAGCTTGCTGCAAATGATCCGCTGTGGGATCAGAGTCCTTTTGCTGATAGTTTGGTGAAGTCGGTGGAAAGCAACTCTGGATTCGGCTTCACCTGCAACGAGCCCTATTCCAATTACCTTCCCACATACAAGCGTCATGGTGCGGAGGAGTGCAAACTTCTCGGCGAGAAGCTTGCCAACTGCAGTGATGCAGACCATTTGCAAGAAAGTTCGTCTTATTGCCACATGGACGAGCTACTGAACCTGACGAGGAACTGCTACATGAAGCCCAGCAAGAAAGACGGAAATCTGACCTGGGCAGTCAAGCACGAAGATCTGCAACTGGGGTGGCTTGACCGCTTCTGCTTTCGAACCACGAGCAGACTTTCAGAGTTGAGCCTGTCATTGAAGGACGACCAAGGCTGGATGGATTATCCGGGAGCCGCAGACGGCGAGAACGGCTCTGATCACATGCCAGTGGAAGCGATGCTGCAGATTGGCCACGCAAGGTGCGACTGCCCTCCAGGTGCACTTGGCAACGGCATCATGATAGAAGGCTGTGGCAGCGCGATGGGTCCGGTTTTTCGGACCGGCGAGCTCACCTCACTTCGATGCGAAGGAGACTTATCGATGGTAGATCAGCATGACCGCATCGTTGAGTCCGTCATGGTTCAGTGTCTTCACGATGGATCACTAGCACCTGTGGATCGCCGGTCAGAAATCTTCGATTGGACTTGCAAGAAGGTTTGCAAAGACGGCCCGGCCACCGAAAATCTTGATCCAGGCCTGGCCACGAATTCAGCTTGCATGCACTTCTTGAGTGATTCCTGCATGTTCCCTATATATCCCAAGAGCCATCTGGAGGCCTTCCAGTAGTGGAGGGCGCCGTTGTCCATCCATCATGCCGGGACCTCGGGGGCAGACTCGCAGAGGTGCTTGAAGGCTGGTAGGAGTATATTATATATTGTATATTATATGCCATATATAATATAGTATACATATATATAATATGTTATAGGATCTTGTAGGCATGGCTCCTTGAGTTTGTTTTTTCTGCCGAAGATGGTTCCCGATGCCTGCCGGGAAGCCTCTAAGGTGTCGATGCTTCCTTGGTTTATTTGGGAGCCCCGGCCCTTGTTTGCGAGGACGGCCAGCTGCGGGGCTTGCGTAGCGACTTACCGATGCCAAGTTGTGTAAAGAGCTGTCACATCCTTTCTTCGCCGGGTGATGCCTGGTTGAAGTCACAATTGCCGGCCTCAGAGCAGCTTCTGTCGGGAGTTCACGGATATGAAATTCGGAAACGCTTCGAGCGAAGCATAGACGTGGTGCTGGACGGCGGCGAGCAACACTATGAATGCCAAAGGTCCTGCACAGTCTTGGGCACATCCACAGCCAAATGCATCGAGTCTGACATGCAGCCACCTCCGTCGTCCATTCGCTGCGCTTGTCGGCTTACATTAGTCGTTCAGGCAGCGGTCTTCTCCAGCGAGGAGCTGAAGTCTCAGGTCGACTACATCAAGCTTCAATTCTTCAACGGGCCCACAACAGACGAAGAGCTAGAGCAGATGAGGCAAGGAAGTAAATATGTCGTGGCCATGAAGTTCAAGCTTGAAGAGCTGCCTCAGTTGAGCAAGGAGCTGGAAAACCTTTCTGACTTGCAGGCTCACGTGACTCTTTGTTCAAAGAAGGCGGGGAGGAAGCGGCACTACTTCTCATCATGTGGCATTCTTGCTGAGACAGACTTGCGCCATGCGCAGTCCATCAAGAAGCTCCTCGGGCAAGTCAATTCCACCGAAGGGCCCCTTACAGTGGACTTCAACTTGAACAAGACGAGTGTGAAGTTGCAGTTCCACTACTCTGCAGTTGCCCCTTCCGGAGAAGCAGAACTGAGGCCGCATAGCTTCTAGCCGCGACCCGACCTCCGACACTTGGGATTCTTCTGAAAGATGAGCAAAGAGCTGGCGCAAGTTTCCTGGATTGGTGCGGCGCAAGAATAGGACATAATAGCTCCACTGCGAAATCTTTCTGTCTCATACACACCGCCTTTGCGCAGTGCAAAGATCATTAGGACTAGACGGTGCCTCGGATGTATCGTTGCTGCAAGAATGCTGCATGCACTGATGTCTGCAGGCACACGGAACTTTGAACGAGTTGCGGGATGCGCGACATCTTTCGCTTGCCCAGGTCCTCGATCATCTTTTCAGTGATGGTGCCATTTGTCCGGGCCTTGCCTGAATTGCATCATGAAGTGACCCTGGTATGACTTCGCACAAACGTGCAGGGCAGCAACATGGAACAGCGGCTCTGCCGTGCAAGAGAGATTAACCGATGAACCAACCAACAACTCGTAGTCTCTCGCCGACCGCGAAGGCCCCACAACGGAAAGCGGCCCTCGAGGTGAGTCGGTGTAGCTTCGAAAAGTAGGCGGCACCAGTACCCTCGACCTCGCACTTCAGGCTTGAGCAATGCAGGCAGCACGGGAGTCCGGGGAGTCGGGGGAGACGCGGAGAGCGAGAGAGAAAGCTTCCTGTGCCTGGAAACCGCCATGCCTTCAGAGACTTTCAACTTGTGGCGAGCGTGCTTTGACGGGTCCAAGTCTGCCGAAACCTTCAGAGGATGAAGACCTTAACCACTGAATGAGCAGAGAGAGTCGAGTGACCTTCATAGCTTGTTTGTGTCAAGGCGGTTCATTTTTATGTCGCCTTGGTTCTAACTTCGGCCCTGGCGAATCCATTCCAAAGTGGATGCGCTGCCTTGCAGCAGCAGTGGCAGCAGTAGCAAGACAGGTTTGAAAACAGATGGTGGGGCAAAATTCGGCTCTCAAGCAACTGACTGGGAACCGTGCTGCAGCCACTGCAATCGCCCGTGTACCGTCGGGCTCCGCGGCACATGGCCCAGCACAGAGGATTAAGATAGGAACCGGATCTGGAAGGTCGAGGCAAGCAGAAAATATCACCCACACAGCCGTCGGCAGTTAGGTAGAAGTTACACAAGACATAACATGAGATCGCATTTGGCAGCTCATCCTGCTGCACAGGGATCAGATCGACTTCTTCGACACAGCTCAGAAGAGCTCGCGTACTTTGCGTGCATGTTTGCCCCGCAGCCATGCATGTTTGCGGCAACACAAGACAGCATGCCCTCCACAGCAGTGGAGGGCACGGCGAACACCAAGCAGTGACTAGCCCGAAGTATGGGAGGTTATGGGTCCCAAAACCAAATGGTAGGGAACAGGAAAGTCGGAACAGCCAGGAGCCTTTGGCTTTTAAACAGGACCTTTCAATCGTGAGAACCGGCTGGCGTTGAGCCACGTAAAGTATATCCGAAGTGTTTATGCACAAGCTGAGCACGGCCGAGTACAGAGATGAGACTTGAGTATCGTTTGTACAAGACCTACAGCAGCTGCACGCTGCTAAACGATAGCCTTCCGCAGGTCGTGCTGAACAGTATCAATGCCTCTTTGCAGCAGTCAGGCAAGCATCAGTTCCAGAGAGGAGCGGGTCGGCATTGATTAAGGACTACCTTTGTCCTGGCTGCTCGGCGCACCAGCTGCTGATCTACAGGGACCCAGGCCACCTCGCGCGGACCGAAGCTGCCAGGATCCCAGTGGCAGTGCATTTGATCTTGGAGGAGGGAGGGGGCAACGGGGCAATGCCATGGTCTCCTAGTTTTTATGGAGAACTTGGAGCAAGCTTAGGTTGTCATGGATGTACTGGGTGAAGGCGACTGGCTAGACGGGGAGGCAGGGCCGATGGCTGCGACAGCGTCGGTTTGTGTGTCCAGAGTGGCGATAAGGTTGAGGATGGGAGAGCCGTGTTCGACGGCGCACTTCCGAAACTGCGCTGTCATGTGCTGTCTTTCAAGGTTAAAAAAGCACAGATTCACTCTCCGTGCTCTTGTGAATCCAAGGAAGCCTCAGCTACCACCGGCCCAGGAGCGGTTTGGCTGAGACTCGTGGCCAGGAACCCACGGCCACAAGTCGCTTCAGTCATAGAAAGTTAAGTCTACGTGTAATGCCACGAATTGGGATGTCATTGCCACCTGTGCACGGCATTCCTGGTGTAAGATTTCGAGACATCCTAGACAGCAGACTGCTGCTGGCGGCTGCAAACCGCGGCCCAGTCCATCTCAGAAGTTCCCTGTTGGTTGGCAGCCATGTCCGCATCGTTTTGGTCTTTGGCACGGTTTTGCAAGTCGTTTACCAGCTAGTGTGGTTTAGTTAGGTGTGGAGAAGAGCTGCTACAAGTAGCCCCGTAGCCAAACGACTCGCGGGAGCTGTCAAAACCGCCGAGCGAGGTTAGCAGCACAGCATGAGTCGTTTTTTGTTGGGGCTGATTCGCCAGGTTGCTGATATCTTTGCCCAAAAATCAGTATCAAGGCCCAGTGGTGAAAGCAGTTCACGGGATCCATGCAAGGAAGTTTCCAGCAGGACTCACACTGGGTAGCGTAGTGCATGCCACCATTTACCGCACACGCCCATCTGCCGATCCGAGTATCGAGAGGGGCTGTCTCCTACAGCGCATGGAAACATGTCAGCTCTATCTGGTCAACTGCTGATCGGTCCGCCACGGGACAGCTTCTGGGAACTGCACCGGATGCTGGGCGGAAGACACTGGAAGAGGGAGCTGACAGGGTTTCACTTGTTTTTACTATTTCGCTCACGGTATATATATCCATCGGAGTACCAGCTTTGCACCCCCAAGGAAGTTGGGAGAATGCTACGAGGCGGACCTTCAGAGGCTCAACAGCGCCACACCGGGCGGCTTGCTTCAGCGGCACCGACTGGCCCAAGTTACAGGCTCGAAGCAGAAAGCCAAAAGCACGGCGACGATGAATCTCAAGAGCCTCGACAGATTACCGACTCCACATCAATTCCAGGAGGACCTGACGAGATTGAACGCGGAAGCGGCAAACCCAGCTAGCCCAATCAGTGCTTTTGCGGAGCCGAGCTCGGGCTTGGGCACCGGCAGCTTGAGCGTTCTTCCACAGCCTCGAGCGGACTCTGCTGACGTCGGGACTCCACCAGAGGATCCTCCAGCCTTGCCGGGAAGTCCGCGCCGGCGCCCGGGTCCCGGCCGAGATGGCGATGACATCTCTGAGGCTTCTGGGTTCTTGTTTTTTGGGGTTTTACTTTCAAGTTACCCATAATGGGATCCATAGTAAGACAATCTGCTTTCTTTACTCTGGTAACTTAAATGAAATCCCCCCACCCACCAAAAAAAAAGAGCCCAGGCTTGCTTGTACATTGCGCACGGCTGCTGGCTTCAGAAGTCCAAGTCGACCATCTCCCGTCGCAAGAGTACCCTGGGACCGAGGTCGGGGACCACTCCGACCTTGGCTTCGATCCAGAAGCGCAGCTACACCTTAGATCCCACGGGACATTTTCGCAACTTTTGGGACTTTTTGGGGATCTTCCTCCTCATCAAAGACTCCATTGCCATTCCTCTCCAATTCGTTGTTGATGACTTCTACCTGCGCTTTCCAATTCTCTTCTTCGTCACTCGGATTGCGGTGTTCTATTGGTGCGCAGACATCCTGCTCTGCTTCGCCACAGGGTATCTCCACAAAGGAAATCTCGTACAAGATGTCAAGCAGGTCTGGTGTCACTACTTGCGCACGTGGTTTGTACCTGACGTGCTTGTTACATGTGTGGACATGGTGTTGGAGTTTACGCCGGTGGGGGACACTGTGGGGGAGACCGCTGCGACAACCCGAATCCTCAGGCACCTATGCTGCAAATAATTCTTGCCGTTGGCATTCGTAGACGCTTGTCATGCGCCAGTGCCGTACATAATCCTAAGGCTCATGAGGCTTTTCCGTGTGGTCCGTCTGGGCAAGCTTACTCGAGTTGCAGCGTTTCTCCGAGATCAGTTTGAATCTCCTATGGCTTCTATTCAGTTCAACTTGATGTTGGTGATGATCGGCATGATGCTCGTGGAGCACGTCCTTGCCTGCTGCTGGCTTGGGGTGGGCACCTTATCATCAGAAGCCACGACCACATGGTTGAAGAGCTCCGGGCTGTCGGACAGCCCAATAATGGTCCAGTATACGACCGCGCTGCGCTGGGCATTCATGCAGCTCGGTGTTGGGGGCACAGAGATCGAGGCCACCAACGAGACGGAGGGCTACTACACCATCCTGGTGTGCTTTGTCAGTCTGGTGACCTTCTCCACTGTGATCAGCTCCATGACATCCCTTGTAACAGCACTGCATGGCCGGAGGATGGAGGAGTCACAGCAATTTGGGCTGCTGAGGCGCTTCCTTCGTCAGCAAAACATCCCGGACAGCCTTGGCCACCGCATCACTCGCTTCTTGCAGTTCGCGTACCATGCAAGGCAGACGCATGAGCAAGACCTGCACATCCTCAACCTCTTGTCCAAATCACTTTCTGCTGAAATGCACTTCGCGCGCTACCAGCGGTGCTTCGAGCGGCTGCCGTTTTTGCATGAGCTCTTCAGGAACAGCGACATGAGTGCACAGGAAGGGCAGGTTATTCAGAGACTGGCCACTCAGGGTCTGGTGGTGCTGGATGCTGGGGAGGATGACATCGTCTTCTGTTGCGGGGCGAAGGCCGAAGCCTGCTACTTTGCCATGCAGGGCTCACTCTCGTATGAAACCCGGGATCAGGGGCTGATTGACGTGGAAGAGGAGCAGTGGATCTCAGAAATGTGTCTCTGGACGGATTGGGGACACGTCGGGGATCTTTCAGCCCGAAGCTTCAGCAGCATTTTGGCAATTCAATTCCAGGCATTCTGCGAATGCATCGCGAGCCTAGTGGCTGCACAGAACCAAGCCCACCGTTATGCGCTCGCCTACGTCGAAGCGATGAATCAGGCAACTGGCCTCACAGACGTCTGGCTGTATGAGAAGGTGTCAACCATCAGAGACATTCCAGGCACTGGAACGCACATGCTGAGCCAACTCTTTAGATCAAGGTTCTGGTTCGACCCTGGCAGTGAAAACATGGTTCGCGTCGCTCCATCTCTTGCATGAGTGGAGGGCTTCGCAATCGGGGTCTGGGACATTTCAACTCTTTGAATTTTTTAAAACAACCCTGACGACTTGCCAGACACCTACGCTGTCTGGCGCTGTGTGTTGTCGTTTTTCAATGTTCCTACAGGCTGATAGCTTGGCAGTGCCGTGCATGCTCCAGCCGTGTCATAATTCTCCATCAGGAGTGCATAACTCTCTGGCCCAGCACTGGGCCAAAGACATGTAAATTGTCATCGCAGGCTGTGGAAGTTGGGGTCGCAGGAAGCGAAGACCTCAATCGTACCAGATTGCCTGAAATGCTTTTCACAAGATGAGGCGGCCCTTTTTGCACAATGCACTGTGCCACAGGTCTTCCAATTATCCTCCTGTGTGGCGCAGTGCATTCGGTTAAGCCGCATGTCTAAGCCGGTTCGGACAGATGAACTCGCTCGTTTTGTTGCTTGCATCCGTAGAGGGTCACGACTTGCCACAACGATGGCTACAACAAAAGGCCTTGGATGCCATGTTGACAGCTTTCAGATCTTTCAGAAGATTGAAAGAGCCACGGTCACGGCCGCAAGGTCCCAAGGAGTGGTCCGAGGAGCTTCGTGTCGCTACCTATCGTCAGGGATGCATGAGGAGTCAGTCATAGCTTCTGGCCCAACCAGCCCTTAGCTGAAGACAGCCACGCTTAGCTTAGCGTAGACATACCTTGTCCAGTGGCGAAAAGTTAGGACAGTTAGGACGTGTCCATCACCAAGTTATGTTCAGACCACAAGGTTTCACTCTTCAGCTAGACTACAGCAGAATGAGTCCTGAAGTCCAGTCCAGCTTGAAGCCCGGAGAGTTTGCAAACAAAGTTTGGAAGGTTAGCACCTGCACAATGAATCTGCGAATGCACAATCATGGCTCGTCGGCTGGCGCTGATCTTGGCAAACGGCGCGTACACGCCTACCCCTGAGTGATTAGGCGAGGGCTAGCTGGAATCCGCGTGTTTTGCAGCACGGTTGAGGCAAAGGCCCCGGTTGTCCCGGTCGGCAGCCGCCGCCGCAGAGCTTTCGCGCAAGCTCAACACGCTGGGCTTCGAGGTCAGGATAAAACATTGCAAGGTTTTCCAAAGTCTGCTTCTTGTTGGATCTCACGGGTGTCCATTGGTACACCTGTTGAAGTTACAGTAAGCTAGTTGTAAGTTGGGCTGGGCGCGTTCTGGATTTCATCCTAAGAAGCCAAGCTCTTGAGTTTTTGGGCGGCAGGCTTTGGGATTCCGGGCGTAGGCCTCGTGAGCTTGAAGCGTGCGGTCACGCATAAATCGGCATGGAGGTGCACTCTGCCACCGACCAGACGTTGATTGGAATGAAGGCTCGCAACCTGCGGACGCTCATGCCTGCATTATCTGCATTGCATTCACTTACGACTCCTCAGCAGTACTTTTGACGTTCTTCGCAGGCAGCAGTCGAAGGCTACTTGCGCCTCGTTGCCAAAGCTGCAGAGTCGTGTGACAGCAGGCCTGGTACGGGAATTCTGGCTGGCCCCTTGCAGTTGGAAGCGCGACCACAAGAGCTCTCAAAAAGTAACCATAAGAGCTCTCAAAAAGTAACCAAAGGAGCTCTCAAGAAGTAACCATAAGAGCTCTCAAAAGGTAACCCTAAGAGCTCTCAAGAAGTAACCATAAGAGCTCTCAAAAGGTAACCCTATTCTGCAGAGAGGCAAGAACCCCTGCTGCTGTTCTGTACCTTCTGCGGCCACGGCTCTGCCGGGCGCTTTTTGCCGGTGGACTGCTCCGCAGCTCCACTGCCTGAGGACGTGGTTTAGGAGTTTAAGGGTTTAACATTTCGTTGATTAGGCCTCGTGGTGGTTGAGACACAGTAGCACTCAGTAGTAGTCATGTTCAGCGGCAGAAACATTATCTGGGAGGACACATTTTGCTTCTTCGAGGACTTGCTCTTCAAGCTCTTCGAAACCCTGCGATCGGACGATTTCATTCAGAGCCAAAGCTGGCGGCACCACGCCCACACGCGAGAGAATCTCTTGAATCGGCTGGATTTTGGTGATGACACTTTAAGAGCTTCTCGGCTCGGTTTTTGTCCGTCTGGTTTCTGCATCCATGTTTCCAGGGATGAGCCGGTTTCAGGCGGGGTGGAGATGCTGTGGAATCCGGATCCTGATGGTCATAGAGAGCTGCCGACGCCTGGTTGGTGAAGAGCTGACGGCGTATCATTCTGCACGAGCGCGCGCCGCCTATGGAAAGCGGCACCTGCTGCCGTGCATGCAAGCCATGAGGCCGAAAATTCACAGATTCATCCATGCATCCATGCATCAATTCAGCCATATGTATGACTGACTGACTGACTGACTGGATGGATGGATGTATGTATGTATGTATGTATGTATGTATGTATTAATGTAATGTAATGTAATGTAATGTAATGCTATGTTATGTATGTAATGTAACGAATGAATGAATGAATGTATGCATGTATGTATGTATGTATGTATGTCTCTATATATATATACACACAATATTCAAACATGTTACAATCTAATATAATACAAGACTATAGCATAACCTAATTTTACAGCATACGGTACAGTACCACACAGCATGATAGCATATGATATAGTATCATGAAACAGACTATGCTATAACATGAAATAAACATATGGTATAATATAACATAGTACAGTATAAGATAAGATAAAGTCATATAAGAAAAGCATCATCTCAAACTCTCATGTATGTAGAGAAATATGCATGCACCATACGGTTATGTGCACATCCAGTACATATGCACATATACATTACAAAGCATGCATCCACGCATGCATGCACACACACACACACCATGTACGTATATATATATATACATATATATATATGTGTGTGTGTGTGTAAAAATATATACATATATATATATACATATATATACATACACGCGTACACAAGTGTGTGCTGGCGTGTATATAGATTTGTGCATGTATATGTATGTGTGTGTCCGTCTGTCCGTGCGTCCGTTTGTCTGTCTGTATGTACATATGTATGTAAAATGTATGTATGTAAGCATGCATGCATGTATGTATGTGTATCTATATTGGAATCTATATATACATCTGTCACTATGTATGTATGTCTGTCTGTATGCATGTATGTATTTCCGTACATGTGAGTTGCCTGAGTTCTGGGTGCCGATGTATTCGGCATGCATCACAAGATGCCAGCAATACGCTGCCTCATCGCAACGCGGGATCTTCTTGCGGCGTGTGAAGAAGATGTATGTATGTATGTATGTATGTATGCGTCGAGCGCGAGTGCTAAAAATGTATAAATGTATGTATGTATGCATGTATGTATGTATGTATGTATGTATGAATACATATATATATATATATGTGTGTGTGTATGTATATCCATGTACATATATGTTCATACATGCAAGCCTACATACAGGCACACATGCATGCACACATGCGTTACATGTGCATCGTGTATCTATCGCAGGGGCCCTCTGATCTGAAGTGTGTTTGCTTGCAGGCCCGAGTTGGCAACCGTCGGGGGTGCGGACTGGGATGCCGCCCGCATGGCCTGGGTGGCCCGACAGCTGGGAAGGGAAGCGCCGCAGCTCCTCCTCGCGCTTTCCTCGGAGTCCACAACGCCATCCTACGACGTCGCCACTAGGATAAACCTTGGGAGAAAGTTTGAAGGACTCGGAAGAGGCCCTGCACCTTGTCCATGCCTTGCAAATTTGCTGGGCTCAAGACTTGTTGTCTCCATGCCGCCGTAGCCATGGTGAAGTAGCTCCAGGAGCCCTGCAGAATCAAATGACGCCAGGCTCTTTAAGAGTCGATGCGAGCGCCCCTCTGTCAGGCAAGCTTTTTCAGGAGAGCGCCCCTTTGTCTGGGCTGCTACCGTGGCGAGCACCAGGCCCCGACTTCTGGGAGCTTCATCGGCGACTGGGGGAGTGTTATGAGGCAGTCGCAGGGCCCCGGAGTGGGAGGGCGGTTTCCTCCGATGCGATACAGCATGCAACACACTCCAAAAAGCTATGTTCACACAGTCGCAGCTCGCGCAGCTCGGAGGTTATACCTCCACAGCCTCTACAAGCTTCGGCATTGACGAAAAGCTTGCCGGATGAGCTGCCGGCCCTGGACGAAGTACTGCCGAAGCACCTCCACGGAGAGGCAGATGAGCTGTTGCCCATCATTCCTGCTGTACACTCCACTGCTGTGCGCTCCAACCTGGCCGAGTCTTCTCTCGGTGATTTCGGCGAGAACAGCCAGGAGCCGAGCCAAACTATCCAGGGCTACTGGCCACGCAGCTGCTGGGTTGAAAGGTCGAGATCACACATGCCCCGGCGGCGGAGAAGCCTGTCGGCAGAGGTTACGAAGTCGATGCAAGTCGTTGCTGAAGCTCGAGTGCCATACGTGTTGAGTCCCACAGGCCATTTTCGAAACGCCTGGGACTTTCTTGGCATTCTCTTGCTCATGAAGGATGCCGTCGTCATACCGCTCCAGCTCGCACAAGTGAACCTGAACTCCATGTTTCCGATCTTTCTCGCCATGTCGAATGCTTCACTCCTGTATTGGTGTGCCGACATCCCCATCTCATTCATCACGGGCTTCCTGGACAAAGGTAGCCTCGTGCAAAGCTACGCCCGAATCGCGCGACACTATGTTTGCACATGGTTTGTCCCAGATTTGGCAGTCACAGTGACCGACTTGTTCATCTGGTTTTCGGATGAGAGCCATGCGGAGGGTCCATCGACCACGCGCATCCTCAGGTTCCTCCGGCTTTTCCGATTAATCCGCCTCGGGAAGCTCACACGCGTGTCTGCCTTCCTGCGCGATTACTTCGAATCGCAGGTGGCATCGATACAGTTCAGTTTGCTCTTGGTCCTCCTTGGCATGTTGCTGCTTGAGCATGTGATGGCATGCTGCTGGTACGGTCTCGGCTCACATGATCCTACTGCAAGAAGCTGGCTCACTACATCACGCATTCGCGACGAGACTTTCTTCAAGCAGTACACTGCCAGCCTGCGCTGGTCTTTCGCGCAACTTGGAATCGGGGGTACTCAGCTTGAAGCTGTCACCGAAACCGAGGGTGTCTACACAATTCTCGTGGCAGTTGTATCCCTCATCAGTTCGTCAACGGTTATCAGCTCCATGACATCACTCGTCAGTGCTCTTCACAGACGACGAATGGAGGAAACACATCAGTTTGGTCTGTTGCGGCGCTTTTTGCGAAACAACAACGTGCCGCCGAGCCTAAGCCAGAGAATCACGCGGTTCCTATCTTACACTTATTATGAAGCTCAGTCGCAGTCGCAAGAACAGCCGCACATTCTGAGTCTGCTGTCGACGTCGTTGCAAGCCGAGCTGCAATTTGCAAGGTACCATTTTTGTTTGGCGAGGCAGTCTTTCCTGCGCCAGATTCTTGACAAGAACTTGAGCTTCCAGGAAGGCCATGTTTTGCAGAACATCGCCACGAAGGGGATCGCAATTTTGGACGCCGGTGAAGACGACCTAGTGTACTGCTTTGGGGCCATCGCTGACTCATGCTACTTTAGCTTGCACGGTGCTCTGGTTTTTCTCCAGAAGGAGAAAGATCCGCAAGATATTCCTGTTGGAACATGGATATCTGAAATGTGTCTGTGGACTTCATGGACTCACACTGGAGACGTGATAAGCACCAGCATGAGCAGAATTGTCGCACTTCATGTGGAGGCTTTCTGTCAGGGAATCAGCAGTGCAGCAGACTTGCAGAGGCAGGCTCATTTCTATGCAATGGAGTATTTGGAGGAGTTGAACCAGCGGAAAGACGCCACCGACCTTTGGCAGTTCGAGGTAGGCCAGCATCTCAAAGTCCAGGTCTAGATATGTCTATAGATTCTAGATTTCTAGCCTTGGTGATGTGTCTGTCACCATCGTCTGGGAATTTCTTGTTTTCTGATCCACTGGCATCGACTGCCAGCCTTTCTGAGGGTAAACTGTAGCTATGTGGGAAAGGGTCGAGAGCGAGAACAGCAAACAGGCCCACAGAGCTGCAGGATGATATACTAGAACAGCTATGTACCCTGCATCGTAGGGTCGTCCTAGCCAGGCGGGAGGCAAAACATACACTAGAGCCTGAGACATCGTGCAGGTTTCAGAAGACGCCTTGTCCGCTGCTCCCAGCACGACGAGGTCTACTCTGGGCATGCCAATGCGATTTGTTCGATGGGCAAAGCACACGTTCCTAAGCAGGAGAGTTTCACCAAACGCGACGTACGACTAGGAAGCAGGAGCTGCAGTGCGCGCGACGTGTTTATGCAGCCCCTAGTAAGAGCAGCAGTTTTCGAATTCGTGACCGGCCCCCTAGCTGAGGTAGCTGTGCGTTGAATCTCAGCCAGGAGTTTGGGCAACTGGGTGCCAGGACTTGAACAGCCACGCCCCTTCTCTTCTTGTACAGAAGGTAAAACAAAACAAAAAAATGCAGGTGCCGCTCACGCAAACGTGTAGCCTGCAACTTTTGATATCGATAATTCGTTGGTGCCGGTGTGGCATCAGCAGCTCTTTGCATGCTCGCTCCAGTTAGATCGCTCTGCCTTCTGACTGCTGGTCTAACCCGGAAGCCTTCAGCCGGTTGTCTCTGAGACTCTCCGACTAATTGTGGTCCTGTCTCAAAAGCCTACAATCACAAGCATTCTGCTGGAAAGTGCTTCAGATACAGAAGTAGGATGCACACGTAGCGCGTTGACACGCGTTTTAACAGAAATGCACGATCTGCTCTATCAGCAGTGATCGCTTTCCACGTTCCATTCGTCATCCTTCAGTCTTCCGTCGAAAAAGCATGCCCTGCCAACTTTCAAGGCATGACCCGTCGGGCTTTGTGGCGTAGGAATGGTACCGGGCGATGTCATAGTATGAACCCGTTCATTATGCAATTGCAAGTTTACAGAGGAGAAGCACCTGAGGTCTTCCTTCGAAGCATTATCGACAGCATTGACAAGCCTGTACGGTTGGGCGGCATCTTGGAGCGCGCAGCACTGGACACCCTTCGCAGAACAGGGCATCAGCAGAGACCGGTGATCCTGTCCTTGGGAGTCTTGGTCGACAATTGCCTACTTTCTTCTTGTTTAGTTGTTCGACATATATCCAGTTTTTTACAGGCTCTAAAGGGTTTCGCGTGTGGTGAACTGTCCAAGCAATGAGTGTGGATTTGCTTCGGGTCAAGCCTGAAGGAAGCATTAAGGTGGCGATGGCAGCGCGGAGGACCTTCGCGACAGCGTCCTGGCCTCTAGGCACGGCGAGACGCAGAGAGCAGAGACAGCCACAGCCAGGACTTCTAAACTATAGACCCTGCTCTTGACGCTCTTGCAATGTTGTAGAGCTTCACATCAGGCTCAAGCCTCTTTGCAAAGCCGACTTACCGCAACGACGAACGTCGCAGCACGACCGAGCTCATACTCCCCAGCACGCTCAGTGAGCACACCAGGCTACCGGCTTGCATAGTCGTCGTTCGTACGACATCGCTACATCGCTTCTCAGACTTGAAGGGAAGCACCTGCGGTAGCTTCTGCCATCGAGGTGAAGAGAAAGGAACCTTCTCTCATGGAGCATCTCAGGAACGAAATAGTGTCGACCTGGAGCCCAGAGCTCCAGACTCCAGAGCTGCATGCCACGGCATGCCTCTGCTGCCTTTGCCGCCATGGTCTCGTCGGTATGAGCCCAACATGTGCAAGAGGCTACAACCGCAAGGCCCACTGCTCGACCTGAGTCTCCACACGGGGCCATGACCTGGTTCAGGTTGTGCGAGATCTCGCATGGCTCATTCGAGCCCCTCCAGTGCTTTCCGACGAGGCAGGCTCGTGATTGCCAGCCATCCCTGCTTGCTTTCAACTCACTTCTCTCAGGCAGGCATGGAGCTTTTGCGTCTTCCAGACTCCGCAGACCAGGCCACAGATGCGACTTGGTTTCAAAGCATCAGAACGGAGCCCTACGCGACGATCTGATCTCCCAGTGTCACAAGGATTGGCTGGCATCTCTGGACAAGAATCCGAAGCCCCTTCTTCAGAACCTGGAAGTGCAGTCGGGTGTGAAGCGGCTTGGCACCTCGGCTGCAGCGGCTGCACTGGCATTCGTCTTTGAAGCATATGGCGGGGTAGGGGGCCCTCAACTCGAGGTTTCTATGCTGCAGCCCTGACGCAGTTTTGGTTGGAGGAGACCATTGCAGTTGGGAAGATCTTAAGATATGCCAAATGCGCAGAGCAAAGCAGGAGGGCCCGGGCTGGAACACCCAGCGAACTTTGTCGGCCGTTCAACTCAGCAGTAACTCGAGGTTCTTCAGATGCCTGCGAGTTCTCACCTTCGGTCATGGTCTTCGTGTCTCAAACTCGAGGCAGACGGCTGGGCAGCTGAAGTTGGTCTGCTTGCACTGGGCCCAGGAAGAGCATCGTGCTTTTCAACGTTTGTGACAGTGTGAGCTTGGGATGCGCTTTCGAGGCGTCCTCGCGAAGCTCTTCACGTGGAGTCCTCCGTCAAGTTCTTTGCTGATGCCTCCGCTGCAGAACCGAAGCTCAAGTCCTGCGCAAGTTGCTCGCAAGTCGATTCAAGCAGCGTGATCAAGTCGTTGCCTTGTGAGCATCTCAACAGCTGACTTGGCATTCATTCACGGCCACCTGAGCTTAAGCCGTCTGAGCCTGGTCCCCAGCTAAGCCGTCCATATACTCTATCTGAGGCTCCTATGTGGGTCCTTTCCTACATGAGATGCTCGGCAAGCATCAGCAAGCAGACTCTGTTTGCCTCTGGGACCGCCCGCACGTGCTCCTGTCAGAAGGAACTTGGCTTGGCGGCTGGCGGAGGCGAGGAGAAAAATCACCTGCACGAGAAGCTCGTCTGCTACTTGGCCACTCTAGTGACTAACTGGAAATGTACCAAGCATCCTTGCGGCCATGAGATGCATTCAATGTGACGCTCCCTGTCTGTGCACAGCAGAAGCAACGGCGGTGTTCGTTTGCAGTTTCAGGTGCAGGAATATTTGCAGAAGGAGTTTGGAGACGTCTCGGTTCGGTCCGTGTACTTCCTCAAAGGCCCGGTCTGCTAAAGAGAAGAAGCTGCGACCTTGAGAAGCTTGTGGCTTGGGACGCGAGGCTACATCTTCAAGCCCCTGGAAGAGTTCTGGGCCGTCGGCCAAACCTTGCGAGATCCTCCGGCTGAAGTCAATGCCGCTTGTGCGACAGGCAAGGGGGTGAGGGCAGCAGCTTGGAGCCTTGGGTGGGCCTGGTGTTCTGTGAATTTCCGTGTCAGGATGGTACACCACGCAGGTCTCTGAAGCCATGAAGGCAGTCTCGCCTGGTGCGCGCCTGGCTGTGCTCCCCAAGCTTTTCTGGCTCAGTCCTGCAGTGGCTTCGGGCAGTCCACCCGTGATCTTGGGAGACGAGCTGCCAGGACAGCAGGATCCCGTACCAACAGACTTGCCGGATAAAGTACGGCAAGACGTGGAGGAGCACTTTCGCAGCGTGGATACTGCGCTCCTGCTCTGTGAACTCCTTCCTGTCGAGGGTGGCCTTTGGGTAGAGAACTCCCGTGGCTTCATCCTGCCTTCCGTTTGGGATCCCAAGACGCTAATGACGGGAGGACCTCAGGGCATGAAGAGCTCCGGGGAAGGTCAGGGCCAACAAGTCTACAGTGAGCCCAGCAAGTGGTCGAACCAAAGGCGGAAGTATTCAGAACGTCTGGCAGACACAGCTCGACAACTTGCCCCAAGCCTCGAAAGTGCCGGGGTTCATGCGACGGTGCCGCAGCGATTGAGCGAGGAGCTCACGCATGATCATCTTAAGGCCGGGATCAGCCCAATCCTGTTCAGATTAGGCTTTGAGTATCTGCAGTCGGGCCCCATACAGAAGGCCGACCTGAAGAGTAGGAATTGATTAATACGACAACGCCCCATGCGATCGCCGTTGAGGATCAATATAGAAAGCTTTCGTCCGTCCAACCTGCTCTATTTGTGCAGGACTACGTACTCTTCGCAAAGGAGCGCCGGCGAAGTGCCGACCCGTCTCGGTTCCAGCGCCGGCTCTCTCTGCGCACAGCGCTGGAATCGGCTGAAGCTTCGGAGCCCGGGAAAGTCTGCAAACTGGTGGCAGCTGCCTTGGGGCTCCTGCTGAAAGAGGCGCAGCGAAGTGATGGACACTTCATCCTTGAGTTGCTTGTCAAGCCCTCCGAGCAGGGGCTGGTCCCGTCTGCCTGCTCTGTGACCTTCCGCGCAGATGCTGCTTCCATGGAGGAAATGATGACATTGGGCCTTTCTGGGGGATTGTGCTTGCGGCTCGCGGTGAAATTTGCGGCACGATTCCGCTTCACGCCGCAACGTCTCTCTCGTGATAAGGTTCTGTCCCTATTTGCAGAAGCCATTGCCTCGTCTGATCGTTCTCGATTGGCTGGACTGGTTGAATATCTGGCTGCAAGCTCGTCCCTGGAACTTGACGAGACATTCCCTCTGGAGGACATAGCCTGCAAGTTGACCATACCACCGGCAGATGGTACGATCTTGGACCTGGTCTGCCAGCATGTTCCCAGCTTGTGCCAGAAGCTGTCCGCAATGCTGACCTCCACGGGTCAGCTGAAGCTCGCCAGAAAGATCGAGGTGCGTCGACTACGCGGCTACACGGAGGACGGCGGAAATCGGGAGCCTCCTTCGGACACTTTGGTGGCTCTACCAAACCTTTGCTTGCCGCCCTGGGTTCGCGTCCAACTAGTTGCAGATGCGAGTGGTCTGGACCTTTGGCTTGGCAAGTTTTGCCTTACTTTAGTGCATGCATCTCCTGTATGCTTTCGGTACCTTGGTGGAGGGAGAATGAGGGCGCGTGCTTGAATACACGGCCACAGTTCGATAAGCATCTGCACTCCTCCATTGCTGAAGTGACTCTCGAGCCTTGCGAGGATGAGTTGGAAGGCCGCCTGGAACTTGGTGGAGTCATTGGCTTGGATGCCGAGTGGAAACCCTGGGATGAGAGTTCACCAAGTCGCGCCCGCTCCCGAAGAGGACAAGTGGCGAACCCTGTCCAGCTACATGTCTGTGATAGAGTCTACGCTTGTCAGGTGTCGCGTGGGCTTTGTCAGATAACTTCGCAGGAACCCGCAGGGTTGCAATTGTTGTGTGATATGCCTTTGTGTTTTCACCACATGGGTCCGGTTTCCGCCGCCAAGTCTGCTGCACATTTAGCAGCCATGTCTTCTACATGGTCCGCTCACATAGCATGAAGCAAATATGTCTTATGCTAGCCAGATGAGATCGAGGGAGGCAAGCTGGGGTTCGTGGTGCCACAGCGGTAGAGTTTTGTCATGTCGACGCAGCCGAGATTACTCCAGTTGGCATGGGCCGACACGGCTTATGTGCTTCTTGGAGTCAATGATAATGGCATGGAGATTCCCGTCCCTGTCAGTTCCTGCCCCGGCATAAGGTTGGACATACCCTCGTTGTTGGCCGCGGCCGAGGAGGAGCTTGCGCACTTATTACAGCGTTTGCTTCGACCCAAAGAAGGTCCGGATTGTGTTTCAGAAAGGCAAGGCATACGTCGTCACCCAACCACCCCGACCTACCTATCGACCGACGTGCCAAAGTCACACTGTGAGACTCTTGCTGTTGCTTCCAAAAACCTGGTGTACTTGTGTTTTAAATATACTGGTATACTATCATATGACATACTATACTTGCTATACTATACTACCATATCACATACCAAAGAAACATGGTACAGTATGGTATGGTATCATATCGTGTCGTATAATATCGTATCGTATATAACATTATAATATGACGTAGCATAGTCGAATAGTGCAGGTGAAGCAGGCCACATCTTGGTCGGTTTTGGGCTGGAAGGTGACATCCGAAGGATGGCAGAAACCTGACACGGAAGAGTTTGGGGACTTCGCAATCTAAGCGCTTGGGTGAAAGCTGGCACATCACATTTAAATATCAAGTTGTCATGTACAGTCTACTGATAGAATGGAACGAAAGAGCCAAGGACTCCTACCCATGGTTAATGTCCCGCTGCTACGGTGGCAATTTTCCTTTCATTGAGATGCAAGACCTTGCGCGTAGTGTGGCGCGCAACTCCTCGCTGGACTGCCTCTGCGCGGTGCGATTGGGTCTTTCCCTTGACAAAACATTGCAGTGCGACACGGCTTGTTTCGTTGTTAAGACTGCCCCACAACCCACAACGTGCGCTCTCTTGTTTCTTCAGTCTGCCAACGAGTTCACAAGAGCTTTTCCAGTTTCATCAATGCTTTGGTCAGTCCAGGCAGCAACTGGGAACTGCGACCCCTGCCGGATCCCCACATACAGTACGCGGCCTTGGATACATGGGTTTTGCTTGCCCTTCTGGGCCATTTTCTGCAGCAAGACCGTGGCATGGAAGCTCGGTCTTCAGCGGAATCGCATGCTTTTGTCGGACTGAGAGCTCCCTCATAGCTTCACGCGCATTTCAGGAGAAGGCAGAACTTTGTGAGCTCGCCAGGGTGTCCGTCTCCTCGGCCGCAACGTGACCTGGCCTGAGCAATGACCCAACTTGGGGGCACCCTCACTTTAAAGCTGCAAACTCGGAACTCGCGCAGATCGCGATGCAGGTTCTCTCACTCGGGGCTTGCCCTTGGATCAGGACGGGATGAGCTTGGAAAGAAAGGGAGCTTTGAAGGTCTCTTCAGCCCTGAGCCACTGCAGGCGTTTGTGCAACTGCAATGGCCTTGCGAGAGCTGGGCGTGGCTGATGAGTCGATTCTGTTTTGGGGGGATGGCTGCCGCTTGGACTTGCGACTTGCTTGTGGCATCTCCAGTTTCTTGACTTTGTCGGCTGTGGTGTTCGACCGATGCCTGCGCAAGGCGCTGATGACGTGCAAGTTTGCAAGACGCTCGCGTGTTTAGCTGTTGACTCTTCAGGCCAGCACATGGATGCCGCGACACGAAGCCCACCGGATTCAAAGAAAACCTCAGGTCAATCGCACTTCTGCTTGGCGGTCTTCGCCGACGGTTCGGCGAGCCTGAGCCGCTCGACGTCAAACGGGTGCAAGTGTTATTTGCTTGAGAGATACTGAGTTCTCGAAAGGTATGCCACGGCTTGCAGAAGCGATGGACTGCATCTCTGCACGACTCGTGACGGGCGAGGAGCAGAAGCTGTTTCGAAGAAGTGCGAAGAGCCGAAGGGCTGGCGTTAAGAGGTCAATGTGTCAAATGTCCGACCTCCCGGCTTCCTGTCAGGAACTGCGTGAGCACTTCAGGCAGCCCCGTGGATGTGTTGGTCCAGTGGGCCCAGCAATTCTAGAGCGCCTTGGCGACTTTAGCGATGCAAAGTAAACTGAAGAGTTCAAGAGGGCTTCTCACCCGTTGCGATTACACACATGTTGCAGGCAACCACCTGCGTGTGTGGTGCTTGACGACGGCCTGTCGACAACAAGCGTGGCCTGTCATCCATTTTCAGACCGATCGAAGTAAAGCGTCAGACTGCTGCTGCGGATAGCGCCTGCATCTTTGTACACGATACCAGTAGTGACGTAGGCTCTCATAATCCGTTTTCATAGTCTCTCATTCATCGCCCCATTTAACCACAACTGGTGTTGGACATATTTCCCGCGGGGGTGGGGTTGCAGGGAGGGGGTTGCTTGTGGGTGGCATATCTTCACTCCACAAGCGACGACGTTCATTCAAGGGATCCTCGAACAGAATCGCCTTTTTGTAGGCTTCTCCTGTAAATTCTACTTCAGAAATTGACCATGATCCAACATTGCGCATTCCTCATCCTTGCTGGGTTCCCATTCCACTGGCCCAGAAACTCTCCTGTGGTGGTGGATCTCCGCAGTGGCATTTGCTGGCGACGCAGCAGCAGATCCTTGAGACCCGGCCTCCATAGTTATCATAGAGCAGTTGGAGCACGACGTGGCCAAGCACATCATGGTAAGCATATATGACCATAGTACCGTCTGCTTCACAGAACGACACCATGATGTACCGTTCCTTGTAGTAGCTCGTTTTCCGGATGTTTCCGGCTTCTACCGAGGATTTGACCCATGCCCGGGTGGCTGCGATCCGAGATTTGACTAGCTGAGGCCCAGAGTTCAGCGGCCTCACAGTCACAGCTGCGGCCAGGCGAGAGGAAAAAGGCAACACTGGCTCAGCCACTGCGCATGCGATGCTTGAAGGGCCAATCTCACAATATCCTGACTGGGCTGTCAGGCACGTAGCATCAGTAGCAAGACTTCGTGCTCACAACACTTGTACCAACAAGGCTTGCAGACGGGCAAGTTCTGCAGATGGGAGCTCTGCCATCATTGTGTTTGATCGCTTCGTGGTGCGGGAGTCAGTCGCTTGGAGTCCGCCAGCGCAGGCCCTGGCCAGCAGGTGAGGGGACCAGAAGAGGAGGCAAGAATCTGAGACGCTCTTCACGGGTTGGATCTGCGCTCAGCTGCTCTCCACGTGTAGGTGCCTTCCTCCGCAGCAAGTCACTACCTGCATTGCCAAAGAATCCAGCGCCTCTCCCGCCGGATTCGTTGCCACTGCTTCGACAGTCGTCGGTCACAGATAGATCAAAGGCTCTTCGATGACTTCAGGGCTGTGCAATGTAAACGGCTTTTAGAATTGCATGTGTACAGCGTAGTTTTTTCTTAATGCATGCCTGGAACCAACTACCCTTGATTGAAGGAGGAGGCACGCTACCAAATGTGGTGGCAAGCGCAAGCCAAGCCGAGAAATATTTCTGGCTACACACACTTGTTACCTACAGCGTCAATGCGCATTGGCATGGAACTGATGAGCATGTGATGCAACTGCATGTCACGCGCTGAAGCTTGCTGGATCTATGTCACCAGGGTTCCCAAAGCGTGCGAGCAAGTTTTGAGATGCGCATGGCATTCATGGCATCTCCCAGGTTCCATGCAATCCACCGAGCACCTACATGTGTCGAAGCCCACCGTGCTGTACCCACCGACCATCGCGACGTACCTGTCTCATGACCATGATAGCACCAGTACCGATGCACATGCGATTGCATCCGCGAAGCGTCACTGCTGCCAATGCTTAACAAGCAGCCCACATGGAGCGGCAGCGCCATGACACGGTGAACCGAGGCCTGTACCTCGACAAGTTGCGACTCATGATTTCTGCGGCCCTACCAGGTTGTAGTGGCAATAGTTGGCAATAGCCATGACTGTGAATAGACTATGTAACACTCTTGCAGCACAGCGCGTTAATCCGGTCACATCAGATGCAGTACTTGGAAGCGAAAGAGTGGAGTCCGGCCTAGTTGCCTATGTGATGGAGTAAGCCACGCTCTTGACACTGTACTCCTTATGCCAAAGCTTAGAATCAGACGCTGCAGACTTCGGAAAGGCTCAATGCCAGCCCGGCGGCACTGGAAATGCTGCATGGCAAAAACAGAAGAAGAGACTTCTTCTTTTTTCGGCTTCAAAATTCAAAAACGCACCTTTTCGACTGGATGGCTTTCCAGTTTCCTTGGTGCCAGGTTGGCTTGGCATCTTCTTTGCTCTTGCGCTGCCTCGGCAGGGCCTCGCCTTTGCCGTAAAAAAATTGGTGCCTCGGCAGTTTCTGCGCTCTGGGCTTTGACTTGAGCTGTAGGGACAGTTGTCAGTCGGTAGAACCGGGCAGATGAAGGTGGCTTGCTGGCTAGCACTACCCCAATATTAGACATATCCGTTATCATCCGGTTGTCGGGCGCAGGTGCGTGCTATCCGCGACCGGAAAAGCAGCCCAGAGCAGGTGAGCGCAGCCGCTGCTAAGCTTCGCGCTCCGCGGTAAAATTGGCAGGGCTTGTTAAGCAATGCCAGGTTGCCTTAAATCTGCTCCTGCAGTATCTGAGGATGAGCATTTGCTGGAGGACCCAGGTGACTATCGTTTAGTGCGACTTAGCTTGAACCCAGCGTCAGTCCGACTGTCAGATCGGGGTGAAGGCATCAAGTTCTTCACCATGAGGCTCAACACGCTGACGAAACGAACTGCCTGGAAGGATGCTGTTAGCCTCTGGGATGAGCACCCTGCCGCACAAGAGAGGCTCAGTCCTTGTTGCTGTGTCGACCCCCTGGGTCAGGGTCAGCTGGTTGCAGAGTTGCTGGCGTGTGTCTGAGGGGAAATTCAAGCTTGATTGCATGATCTTGCATGAGTTCCGGTCGTTCCGACTGTACGATGAGTGTCTCTCGGTTTCTGGGAATGTTTCTACCAAAAATGAGGATGCGCTGGATTGGCAGCGAGCTAGAAGAGCCGGACTTCGTCCTTGCAATCTCTGCTTTCGCGAAAGGCTCGCACTGGCAGGCTGCCGGACGGTGAGCAGAGAAACAGAGGAAGGCGCAAGATGGTGGCCATGCGCAGGAGGCCGTCGAGCTTTTCCAGGAACTTCTTGGGAACCGTCCCCCGCACCTTTCTCTAGGCAGGTTGCTGTTTTGCAGCGCCTAGCGGCCCCAGCGGCCTAGAGCGGTTTTTGCTGTGAAGGCCGCCACCGCGAGGACCTGCAGGCACCGTGGATTTCAGCACTGCGCATGCAGAGAGGAAAGTGAAGGAGTCTGCGCTGCAGGCGGATTTGCGTGCTTACACTGCGGCCATTGCGAGCTGCAAGGCCGCCGGCGCATGGCAGGTGGCCGCAAGGCTGCAAGAAGGTGGCCTCGAAATTTGACGGGGTTTGGGTATGCCACATGCTGCCAGAGCTGGGTTCTGAACGCTGTTGGGACCCCCAGCGCGCAAGTGCACCAAACGGTGTCTAGAGTGCTTAGGCTTAGGCCCAGACGCCCATCTTTCGGCACAAATCCAAATGAGGCTGTGCAGATCCTGCAAGACATGGAAGTTGCTTCTGTTACGCCTGATGTCACTTGGGCTTCAATGTCCCGGATTGCTTGTTTTCTGAGAACCAGTCAAGACAGGTCGTGACCTACAACACCGTCATGTCGGCGTGTGAGAAGGGCCGTGACTACGACGCCGCCGATCGTGTTTTTTCGGAGATGTGTAAATGGGCCGCTTTGATGAAGAATGCTGTGCGCAGCCGGCTCTTCAATCTGTCCACATGTCTTGAGCGGCTGAGGACATATCGCCAGATAAAGCAGCTCGGCCACAGTACCTGTCTTTGGTTGGTGTAGTCAAGCGCCTCGCTGTCACCAGGTGACCTACGGCACTCTGATTGCAGCCTGTGGTTGCTTGGCCTTCGTGAAAGTTCACGACTTTTTTCTCTCCAGGTTTAGCCAGCAGCCAGATCTGAAGTCAAGATCCAGGTGCCAGACATGTTTGACAGCAGCTTTTTGAGGATGGGGCCAGCAATGGCAAACAGCCGTGGCCTACCTGAGACCTTGCGATGCAATCTGAAGACTGTGGTTCGACAGTTTTCATTGCGAGCCAGTGGACCTAAGCAGACCTTTGCGGCAGTCGGCTGGTGCTGCGGGGGTTTAACAGCCAAGGACACGCGCAGGAGTCGTACTTCGGCTTCGACATGTTCGCTTGCACTGCCACTGTCTCAGTGTAGTCAGTGTAGTCGTGGGTGCGCTGAAAGAAGCGATACCTTGTGTCCCTGAAGTGAAGCACGTTCAAGCAGCTGAAACAGCTGCTGCAGGTTTTTCGGCTCAGATGCTGGTGGCATAGTTGGGGCAGCTGTGCGCATGTCATGGCTGCGTTCTCCCTTGACGCCACTGCTAGGTTTGGATACTGGAAACTCTGAGCCACAAGACGAAGCTCGCAGCCAGAGCAGTAGATTGAGTGGCCGGTTTGCCAGCTGGACAGAAGGTTTCTTTTCGCCTTCGCCTCGGAACGCGGAGCCCATCCCCGAAGAGGGAACTGGAAAGACCATTCCAGCTGCGACTAGGCAGACCCAATGCTCATGCTGCCCTTGGCCTACAGGGCCGGCAGGGCATCGGGCCAAAAGGTCAGGAGAAGGCTTTCTGGCTCACCTCCCAAACCGCCCGGAAGACGTGTTCCATGCACACCACCGGCAGCCAGGCCCGAACATCACGAGTCTGAGCAGCTACGTGTCTCGGTGGGCAGAAGTCGAATCCTCTGCGAGGTTACCAGAGCTGTCCCGACAGCTGTCCCCTTTGAACCGAGAGGAAGGTTTTTCACAGGCAGTTCTTGAATGGGCCACTGCAGTGTATGCTGACTTGGACCAGATGGACCAGACCGACACCTTGCCAGCCATGCAACTGCAGAAGTGCATGCAGCGAAATGAGAGGATGTCCAGTGCGCATGTTTGATTTTTTGAAAGACCGCTTTCATGCGATAGGTCTCTGTGACCGCGAGGTGAGGTGCACCGGAAGTTCCCTGGTCATCGTTAGCTTGAATACTTGCCTTACTTAGTTACTTGTCTCTGGTCAATCAGACCGGTCTTGGCTTCAACTGAAGTTGTGCTACAAGACGTCATAGTGTCGTAGCAGAGAATTGGTGCAACAAGTGCAGCACCGAGTGTAGCGCCCCATGGTCGGCCAGTGTCTAAAACACGGCCTCCGTGCACGAATTTTCCAGGCATCATCTCTTGGGCGAAGTGCCATACAGAACTTCTGACGAGCGGCTGCAGGTGTTGATAGCCGCTGGCCTCGCAACATGATCGTCATCATTATCACATGATCACCGCGAGAAGCGATGATAGTAATAGTGTCGGCATTGCACACGACAAGAGGCTGATGCCTTTCTCTAGCCATGCACACGTCTGCACGGCAGTTTGGAGATTGGCCTCGATGCGAGTGGCTCGATCCGGGTGGTCTCAAACCTTGGTGTGTCGCGGGTGTGTGCGTGTGGCTCAAAATAGTCGAAGACAGCAGGGGAAGAGTCTTGACTGTTTGAAAGCGTGTGTTTCTCGACTCTGCATCGAGATGGTTTCAGACTGCCAGCTCATGATGCCTAAGGCCGCGATCAGCGCGTGCGCGAAGGCCACTCAGTGGGCTACCGCCTCAGCGCTTCGTGCGTGAGGCAACGATGGCCCAAGACAGACATACCAAGGAGCTCGCCATTTCGATCTTGAACGAGAGGGGGCGGCTCTTGAAGGGTGCCAGCGTCAGGCCGGGATGAGCGCAAGAGACTTCAGCTCGACAGCTGACACAGTTGGGCTTAAAGCGCAGTCACAGCGAAGCGAAGGGCATGTTTGACATGCAGGACTTATAATGCTGCCCTTAGCGCCTGCGCCGCGGCGGGGAAGCTCGAGCTGGCCCTGATACTGATGGAAGAGATGCAGGCAGGCAGTGTGCGCAGCCCTGGACATCTCAATTCACTGCCGCTGCAGCTTCTTGGCTGGTGCCCCACAGGAGTCGGGGATCACCCCTAACTTCATGACATATCGATCCTTGGAGAATGGAGCCACATCCTGCGAGTCCAGGGGTCGCCTAGGATTGCAACTCAGCTGCTCGCAACATCCAAGGATATGCCATCCAGTCCTGCGAAGATTCCGGCTGCTGGGAGCTTGCGCTGGACTGCAGTTCGGTGAGCGAGATACTTCTAGCTTCCAGCTTCTCTCCACGGACCTGCCACTGCTCGACACGCAAGGGGCTTCGCATCCTTCGAGTTTGGATGTTGCAGGATCTGATGGCTGAGATGCAGAGTGTGGACATCGAGCCAAAGCAGCTCATTTTCGGTGCCCGACCCTGGCGAGAGCGTCGGGGCCAAATGTGAATTTGCCCGTTCTGCCCCAGGCTCCGTTGCTGCAGCCTGCAGAAGTGCCGGGCTGGAGAAGCTGGCGGCCTCCTACGACTGGAAGGTCCGGAGATGTCGGTGAACACAATCGTTACTTACACACACACACATACGCACACACACACACATATAATATGTATGTGTGTATGTATGTATGTATGTATGTATGTATGTATGTATGTATGTATGTATGTGTGTGTATGTGTATATGTATATGTATATGTATATGTATATTTATATTTATATTTATATGTATAAAGATACTTACACACATACATAATTACATATACACATAATACATATATATATATATATACATATAAAAGTGTATGTATATGTTATATAGAGATATCAAGGTATCTAGATATATCTATAGATAGATAGATAGATAGATAGAGACATGGCATGACATGTATTTCGCAAAAAAAAGTGGGCCAAGGTCAGCCCGGGCTGATCGCCCCTATGAGCCGCAGCACTCGCAGCTGCTCCGGAGCTCTGAAACGGCTCGTCGCGTTTGGCTTGCCGTTTATGCGCGTTAAAAGTTCGAGTGCCAGAGTCTTCGAAAGGGCGCTTTCAAAATCATTCTTGTCATCGCTCCGTCGGATGACGGATCGCAGTGCACGATCTCCGGCTCGTAGCCATTTGACTGGCTTATTCGTCGCCTCGGCACATGTGTCGGCCAGACACTCAGCCAACGCTCCTGTAATGCTCTGCGATAGAAAAACGTGTGTTCCTAAGCCCGACTTCGGTTCATGTGGCTCATGAAAGGTTTGCTGCCACAAACGGTCCGTTGAGTGTGGTGGCCATATGCGGTTGCCAGTCCACGCTGCTGAGCCGGGCCCTGCAGGTTTGAAGCGAGATATGAATAAGCAGCTGACAGATGCCAGCATCCTCGCTTGATGTGCATTGGTGTGCTTAAGGTTTCGATGTGGACGAGACGGCAGGCCACTTGCTTGATGGTCTTGCTGCTGGGCTAACTCTTGCAATTCGTTCTTTTGGGTTTTCTCATGTTCTTAAATATTAAACGGCAGCAACTCTCGGTGCGCATTTGCAAATGTAGAGGGACGTTTTGATGGGCGGGTGAACCCAGGCTGGCTTCGCAGTCAGCCCGACCCCCAGCTGCACAGCTAAACGTACATGGAAGATGAAAGGCCTCGGTGTTGGTTTGAAAGTGCAGAGCTTCGTGATGTCAAGCCCCGACTTGCAGTCAAGTCCATTTCGACGTGTTGTTTGCGCAAAGGCAGGACAGAGGAGAAGAAGGAGGCACCATGACAGGGGATGGACATGTCTAAACAGTCGAAACATAACATGTCGAAAGAACAGGTGCTGTTAGTTTTGCTGGGCATTGGAACCAGGAGGCCCTGGCAGGAGGTGAAGCTGAGACAGATCTGATCTCAGCAGAGTTCTGCCTCCTCTACGGAACTCGATCACTAGGTGCGCGGACTTCTCCTGTATTGGGAGCCATGAGGTTTGGTTCGGCGACCCCCGCCGTGGTAAATGGAGCGAAGGCACATGTGGTCGCAAGTGTTGGCACGAAAGCTGCTTTCACTGGTGCTCGGCGCAGATGCTGGAACGGAGTTGCGGCCAGCTGCCTCTGCCTCGCAAGCCGTAAAGCAGTGCCGAAAGGAGAGGCAGCTGGGACTCCGACCGAGGAAGCAGTCGATGAAGTTGAGGTGCTGGAAGAGGCCTGCGAAGCTGCAGAGCTGGCTCAGCTAGGAGCCGTCACATCCTTTTCCCGAAGCCATCTTGGTTCTTGGCCCCCTTTGAATCTCCGATGGAGCCACAGCGGTCAGAGCAAGGCGAGTGCTTCGACGGGTTTGGGGCTCGGAATGCTGAGCTTCCGACGGACTTCCCCAGGGCACTGGAACTGCTTCGTGTCGTCAGGGGCGACGAGGCACATGAGAGAAGAAGACGACCAACGAGAATCCAACGAGGGCCCTTACCTACTGCTATTATGGAGGGAAGCCCTCCGGATATCCAGCTGAATATCATCTTCCCTGTCCTTCTTATGACCACCATTCCTGTCTCATATTCCGATCTTGATGTTGGGAGACTTCATTGACAGGTCAGCGCCTACTCTCAGAGATCGGTGCGCGACTTTCTGCGGCAGACGAAGTGCCAGCTCGAGGCAGAAGACCACTACAACCTGAAGGCTCAAGCCTTTGAGCTCGCATCCGCGGAAGATGCCGGGTTTTACTTCATCTCCTACGCGTGGGAGCCCCCTTCTGGTCTTGATGCACGGAGAGGTTGGGGAAATCAGTCGTGGCGCTTCGGGGGCTGAGTGAAACCGGAAGTGTTTGCTGACTGTTTGGATCTGGCATGCAGGCGTTGCTGCGGGCGAGACTCCTTTCCTTCCATCGCTAGAGCAGCAGCAGGGTAGGCCTGAGATTTTCACCGATGCCCGCGACTGGTATGCGCAGGCGCAGGCAAAGTCGCTGCTCCTTGAAAGCATGGATGGATTCGAGAATGAATCTTCTTGTGAGTTTGCGTTGCGGCCGGATGCTCTGTCAGATTCGAGGTACTTGGAGTGCCGAGGGCAGCGCGAACTTCACCCGCGCGACCTTCGGTTCTGGATCGAGAGAGCCAGCCTGCCGCAACATGGGCCCATCTTCGAGTTGGCCAAGAGCCAGTCTTTCTTTCTACTGGAGTACATCCTCCTCGCGAAAGCGATGATTGCCGTAGCTTCTCCCCATTACTTCTCCAGAGGAGAGAGTGCTTAAAGGCTTTGTTGCACGGTCCCGCAGCTCCCGATCCAGGGTGTTGACAGTGTTGACCAAATTCGCCCAAATAGCCCTATAAATGCTTTATAGAGGATGATCTTATAACCCTATAGCACCCCATTAACAGAGGATGGTGCTTATTCGAGTTCGCATCGAAGCTGGCGACAGCTCCGGACGACCCTGCAGCCCTGGGTATAGCCTGGAAAGCTTTCGTGTCCTTCGGTAGCAGGCTGGGGGGCACGGATTTCGGTAGTTCCTCTCCGTGCCCGCTCCTGAGAGTCATGTCGGGTATGTCGGTACATCGTTGACCACAAGCTCTTGACAAGAACTCAGATCTGCAGTGGGCGCTTCTAACAATTAGCAGCATTCATGATCAGTTGTCATGGCAGTTAACGAATTCTGCACGCAGCAGTTACGACATCTTGCTTAAGTCAGTATCCACATGCGTCCTATCACACTAAACGGCAGAACGGAGAACGGGGGATCGGCTCTCGGAACATGATCGCAGGAAAGACGGATTTCCCGTGTCTCTGTATGCCGACGTAATACGGCTCATCTCAATTGAGACTGCGGAGTTTTCAGTGGCGAGTGATCGTGACATTCTGTTGAGTCACGTGGACAAGCTCTTTGTCTCACGGGAGGCTTTTGACCGGTTTGCAAAGTTCGTTGCGCTGGCGCGGTTGGGCAGGTCATGCTACACGCTTGAGGATCGAAGACCCTTCGCACTGGTGGCTTTGGAGGAAGGCTTCGAGGAACTGGGAGACCTGCTGGCAGCAGATTCGCTTTTCGATGCGAGGAAGAGTCCCGAGGCTCTGCAACGGTTTGACGAGGCTCTGCACCCTCTCTTTGCGAGGGAAAGGCGACAAGCTGTCCGCATGCATACCGTGGAGGGCTTGCAGCTCTTGGCGATGCAAGCACGGCAATCGGAAGACGGCTGAGCCCAGTGAACGGTATTCATGGTATTCGCGTGGTTTTTTCACGTGCACCCCGGCGCCTCCGTGTAGCTCCACAGTCGAGTCCAGGAATGGCCAAATGTCTAAAATCGTTCTGGACACCGCGGCGATGCGCTGCCTTCATCACAAAAGTTTGGAAGCACGTGACGGGCGCCACGAGCGAATGCCGCATAGAAGCTGAACCGACGGCCCTGCAGGGTCTGTTTTCATGAGCGAATTCAACGAAAGCATTGAGCCTTGAATTGCCTGGTCAGCCTCGTGCTCTGGGAGGGGGCTGGCGGCGAGCCCTGCCCTCATGTCGCCGTGCCACGCGGTTCTCGTATCACCGCAATCCCTTGATGGCCTCAGGCCTTGAGGTGTGCCATCCAGGAGTTCAAGTGGGGCCAGTACCTCACAGCATTGTTTTCCAACCGCATGTGAAGATTCGCGTGTTGGGTTAGGAGATTACACGACCAAGCCGAACAGCAGGCGGGTGCAGGGCAGCCAGGAGAGGCGACTAGACACCAGTCCCCAAATTGAGGTACCGATACACGCTCTATGCCATCCACGCCGACCCGCAAGTCGGCATAGACTCTTCGCCCTCAGGAGGTGGGAGATTCAATCGTGCCGAGTATCCGGGCATCAAGAGCATGATGTTGCAGGCCCAGCGAAACGCGGCCCAGGCCTGCATGTGGCGGCCCAGGCGAGCGTCAATGGGAAAGCATACCGCAGGAAACGCGCGGGCTTGACTCAGAGGTGGAGCTGAAGGTTGTGACCCCTGCAGCTGATGATGACCACCAGGCGGGATAGAGGAATCCTAGTCCCTCAGAACGGATGCAACGACCACCGTGAAAAAGGTATTCTTCAATCGTGGTGTTGCGGGCTCGCAGCGATTTGCACGCCTGTCAATGGGGACGCGGGAGACACAGCCTCAGGTCTTACAGTTTGTCCACGGTTGCCGTGTCATTGACTCCTGCTGAATTTACTGTATTTGCCTTCTGCACAATATACGATTAGAGGTAAACTACGGCTTGTGATGGCGAGTGTAGAGGAGCGGACCTCGGAGTTCGGAGCAGTGGCAGTGGCTCTCGAACGGACTGGAGGAGGTGCGCGCTATGCAGCTGCCGAGATCGCGCTACCCGGGGCCGCCGGGGGTCATTTCGATCCTGGGTGCAAGGCACTGCTGGGCTTCATCGGCCGTGCCCACAAAGGCTTCGAACTGCGATGCGCATTCTACGAAGCGTGGTGGGCTTGGTGTCATCATGGAAAGGCGGTCCATAAAGCTTTGTCCTCGTTGGATGAGGCATTATCCCCCTGTGATGAGGGCGCTCGCTGCAGCTGAGAGGATCGTGTTTCTGCTTCGGCTACCTGTTTTTCTGCAAGCCCGAAGTGCCCGAAGCCCTACAACGTTGTGACAGTAGCTCCGAAGCCTTCCGAAGCCACAGTGTGACTCCCACCGCCACCTCAAAATAAAGTCCGCCAAACTGCTGATGCCACGGCACCAGGAGAGGTGCTTCTGTGCAGATCGCACCCCACCCAGTGTGTCGATGTCGCAAGAGGGCACAACACACAAATCGAGTGACATGTGGGCGTAACAGGTCATGGACTGGAAAATCGCCTCGTGGTCAGAGGACAAAAAGGCGCGCGACGAAGACCTGAACGTCATTTGCTGTTTCGTTTTTCGGGCGAAGGTTTGGTCCCAGCGTGGGCCACAACACCTGAACTATTGGGCATTGGCAGAGAGCGGCTTGCTGAACTCGGGGTCTGCAGCTCGGACAAAACCGTGGAAGCATAAGAAGGGGGGGCGGGCCACGGCGGGCCCAGGCGAGTCTTCCATCGGACCAGGCCTGTAGCAGCCATCAGCAGAGTGCTCGGGTCAGAGGCATGCAGTGTTTGCTCGAGACATGCTCTCGAGCTGCAGGTCACAACAAGTTCATCATCCTGACAGCGCCAGATGGAAAGCTGTCTGTGTGGCTTGGGCCTCAGGAACAGCACCAGCCTCTCTTGCAGAGTAACTCCCTGTACAGGCTCCCACCCGTCGCAGGTCATGGCAGAGATCATGTAGTCATGTAGCTTTCGAGGAAGTTGGAGCCGAGACCGGCGATGGAAACGAAAGCCATCGCCTAGTGTGGGGCCGTGCTGCTGGCATTGCCCAGGACCGGTTCCACTAACATAACTGCTGGCGCCATCTTCGGTCACTCCAACGTCGGGCACATCATCGCACGGCCGCTTGCCAAGCGCTTCAACCATCCGCTGCTGAAGCTTCCAAATGCTGCAACAGCAACCTGATTGGGCTAGACTTCTCTAGTGTTATAACTTGCACGAAACTTGCTCGCAGTCCTGACGCAGGTAGTTTCCTATGCACTTCCGCTTCCATAGATATCGCATTGAACTTCGGTGAGAACTTCTTGCCATGCAATCAAGTCGAACAAGAAACACATGCCGTCCAGCATGTAGCTGGCATCAACTCATGGGTAGTGTGCCTGGCAAAGGTACTCAGAATAGAGCTGAGCAGATTCACTGCTCGGCTGCAAGGAAACCCTTGTGCCCTGACACTGTCCCTCAAGGCCAGACCTCTGCAAGAAGTACGTGGCGTATTGGGAGCGGCTTGCGCAGGACCCCGAGAAGAAGGCTGCCAGGCCGCATAGCTGGCGATGTCGGAGCTTGGTTGCCAAGCCTTAGATAGCCTGGATTGTTGGCATTGCTCCTGACTTGTGGTGTTTCGTAGCTGCCGGGACACATCATTGTGAAACCTTAGCCTACCATTTGATCGCCATCAACAAGCCTGCTGTTGGCGTGCGGCCTTTCCAAGGATTTGGCCCAGTTCAATGAGGAGCTTTCCCCACTGCCCGAGGAGACGGATGTTCTTCGCACCTAGAGCAGCGCTTGCGAAGTGTGCCGACCCTTAGGAGAAGAGCAAGTGGACTGAGTTGGTTTTCTTCTCACCACGACTGCGCCAGCCCCCCATATTCAAGGGCTCCGCTGTGTGCAGTACTTTCTGAACCTGCTGGCAGTGGCGACCAAGTACATCACTCCACAGAAGATGTTAGGCTGGGCTGATGCTTTGTCCTTCATGGCCCAGCTGATCCTCAAAGCAAGGCCACCAACTTAGAGACTGGTTTTTTTGCAGAGCAGCAGGAAAGTGTCTCCTCGCTATCTTGCTCTTTAAGCTTCCAGCAGCCTTGGCAACTACTGTCTAGTGTGTTGTCCAGTGGCTCCATGTGGCAACCTATACGGCAAATATGCAATGACCCAATAACCCCGGTAAGAACGACGACGTCAGGGAAGTGTTGCAATCACCAGATGCTGAAAAGAGACGCAAACAAGTGCAGAATACACATATTCCGTAAATGCCCCCGTCACGAGCAAGCGCTGACACTAATTCGTTGTGTTACTTTGTGTTTCGGGGCGAGGGCATGGGGCACTGAACTTTTGAATTGAGGCACAGCGTAGCGTTTACCGCAGCATTCGGCATAAGCGGCTGGCTCAGTTTTGTGCGACTCCCTTGAAACTTGTAGCGGGTGCTCCCGATCCAGGTCGCGAAATATCTCCAGCACTTTTGGCCGCTGGGTCAGAAGGGGCAGGACAGGAGCATGCTGTGTAGTCCTGTATGCAAAAAGAGCCACCATGCCTTTCGATGGTCAGGCATGCCAGTGCCGACATACTTGCTGCTGGAGAGCCAGGGCAATTGGCAGGCATCACGAGATGCAGGGGCCCAAGCAGCAGCCCACGTTAAACAACGGTGCCCACGTCAATTCGAAAGTTGTGCTCGTGCCCTGTGCAGTCTTCTGAGGCTGTTCAAGCGCTGCAGCGCCATGGGCCCGGTAGCTGAATTTATAGTAGCAGTAGTCTACACACCTTGGTGCAACAAAGTTTAGCCAGAATTGCGGCAAGACTGATGGCTTCCGAGGGAAGCCGAATGTTCGAGTTGCTTTTGGCATGCACATGGAGGCCGTCTCGGTGTTGCACTATGCATGTCTGTGACACTTTTCCTTTTGGCCCCGGGCCCCAGCCTGCAGATCGTGTTGTGTTGATGGAGAGTCTGGGCACATCTTTCCATGTTGACCGTTAACCGGTTCGTCTCCACAGCTGTACGTAGCACTTTCACCGTTTCATGTTCACGCATTGCATGGGCGCACGGGGCTGCAGAGGGACATGCTCCAATTCGACAGTTGCTTCCTTGCGCAGGTCCCTCCCGGCAAGCCGCAGCCGCAAGGCTCGGTGCATAGAGCGGGCAGTATCGATTCGTGTGAAGTGATGTCGGCTCAGGTGGGGCTTGGATACCGGAGACGCTCACAGGGCTGAACGAGCATGCAGCACCCCAAGAGTCTCCGTAGTGTTCCTCTACATTGCACCACACACACACGCAACTCCACCATGTCAACAAGCAAATTGTGCAAGTAAACACGTATAAGCTCCTACGTGCAGAGACAGAGATTAACGGACCCAGCCAGCGTAAACTTGCACAAGTACTGCGCATGGACAGATGACCATGCTCAGGTGCGGTACGTGCACACGAAGATCTTGCTGATAGATATGTTCTCCGACGAGCCGATCGCCTCTTTGCCGCAACACTCTTGGAGTTGGATTGCCAGACGTACATGTATCCGCCGAGTGGCTCGCAAGTATGTTTTTTTTTTTTTTCCTGGGCCTGTCCACGGCCTTTTTATGCGAGGGTGCTGCGTGCTTACACGGCCCGCCGCGACCTTTGAACAAGATGGCGAAGAGACATGCACACAGCCCCTGATGAATTGGGATGGTGCCTGAGCTCTTTCACGGAAAAGCGGAAAAGGAACAATCAGAAATAACGTTTTGTTGTCCAACTGTGCCCAGAATTCTGGAGGAGGTTGTCCTGTTGAACTCAGCCATTGACATACTTCTTGAGAGTGTGGGTTCAGCGATCCTGCTGTCGGCTGTTCAAGTTTCAGCCCAGGTTGTCTCCGGCTTGCATCTCAGCAGATCTTGTTTCCCGCCTTGCCTGCTGGCACGTTGCTTGCGACTGGACATGGTCGTGGTAGTAGGCAGTGGAAATTTCTCAAGAGCTTCCATGGAGTCGAATGATGTGCCTCTGCTGCAAATAAGACGCAAGATCATACGGAATTGCATGCCTTGGCAGCTTGTGCAACAGGAAAATGTCGTGGTGGTGCGTGGCAATACCAACCTGCCCGGCCCCTGTGCTGAAAAGTCTTTCCGAGAGGCTTGGGAAAGCAAAGTTCCAAGGTCCGATGCCTACTCCGTGGAATTTTTCCGCATCTTCGAGCACATGCGCTTTCGAAACCACGTACAAGGCCCTGTCGCAAGCTGGCCAGCGGCTGTAAGCCAGGCACACAGGTCTCTGTCCCAGTTGCAGGCATTGATAAACGGCTCGAAGTGGAACCTCCAGGGCCCCAGGCGCATTTTGTAGGCTTTGCAGCTGAGAAGTCGCGCGTTTGTGGCCAGCTTGAGGCCGACGCGCTTGACGAGGTGATGTGTCGTTGTGGTCAAGCAGTCCAGCACCCAGTGCTTGTCGTGAAAGCCCTGATGATGGCTTGCCGCCTCAATAGGGTGGAACCAGTTGTACCCAGGTGGCGGAGAGGACCGTGAAGAAAGCAGGCTTACGCGGAAGAGCTGTCATAGTCGGCTTCGGCAGGAACTGTCTCCTCAATGCAACTGTTCGCGGGTGGAGGCCCAAACGTGGGGCGACGATTCCGATGCTGTGCCAATCCGCAGCGGCTGTCTTGTGGATTCTTTGCCGGGGCCGTTCGGGTACGAGCAGCATCTTCGCAAAGAGACCTTTGTAACTGGAGGCCTGGATCCAGCCTGAGGATGCACAAGCAGCACCAAACGAAGAGGCGCAGGCATCCGTCGCTGCCATGCAGTGCCCACGGGGCATACAGGCTTCTCTGTTCGGCCAGGAACCGTGGCCAAGGTGTTGTTACTCCTCTCCTAGCTTCCTCTGCCTTGAGCGGCAGCTATTCAAGGACGCCCTGTCAAGAGTGCACCCTCGTGGCCTCGACTCGCATGCGTCGCAAAGCGAGGACCTGCGTAACGGGGCTACCAGCACAGAGCCCAGCAGGCTTGGCGGCTGCTGTTTGTGCTACACATGGGCTGTCACGCACTTCCCTGCAAAGGTTGCGGACATGCCCCAAGCCTGAACACATAGATGGATTCACACCATATTCACACCTCAAGCGTGTCTTTTCACGCCTGTTGTGTTTTTGCTCCTGAAGGTAAAGTTGTGTATTTCAATTCTTGCTGAGTGGTCCAAGAAAATTGCTTTTCCAGGTCTGGTGTACCAACCCAAGAGGAGGAACAGGCTCTTGTTCTGTGCAAGCTGCTCCCCTTCAGGGGGAACCAATTAAGGCCAGATAGGGGTTAGGGTTTTGACGAAGGGAGTGGGAAGGAGGCCGGCAGCGGCGACAGCTTCGCCAGTGCGGATGACGGACTGCTGCGGCCTGAGATTCCGCGCTCCCCCCTTTTAGCATTGTAGCAGAGTGCCCGCATTGTCACAAGACGCAAAGCTGCGGCATCCACTGCAACCACGGCTGTGGGGTCATGTTACAGGCTTGAATTCGGAAGCAACGAATTCAACATCGGACTCCGAGTATCATGGCCAACGCGAGTCCACTGTTACACAAAGAACCATTGGCTCTACAGCATTCGCCCGCGAAGTTCGCCGCGGCTGTGCGATGTGAGGCTTGAGCTCTGGGACCTCTGTGGGGTCAGTGAGGACCCTGTGGTGTCAGCGGCTCAGAGACTCCGAACCGGCCCCGATGTTATGATCATGTATGAAGTGATTAATATAGTTTAGAGTAAAGTTCATTTCATGTACACCTTGAAGAGCGTGAGGTCGGACGTCAAGCGGCCAGAGGGCCTAGATCTCACCGAGATTCGGGCTGCCCCCGTCTCAGAGCATCGCGAATGCAGACCCAGCAAAGCTCATGTGTGGCATTGCCATGAGGCTGCCACGGAGATGTTGGGAATCAATGTCAAAACGTGGGACACACAGATCACTCTTGGGTGGCCGACTCAGACACGGGGCATGGCTTGGATCTGAGGAAAGGTAGCGGCAAGCGTCTTCGTGAATTGCGAGACCGTCTCGTAACATGTGCCCGCGCCTTTCAGCCCTCTGCGCAGCGCTGCCACGACATTAAAGCGTGTCAGAGATCAGGTCAGGTCCATGCCAGATGGCCCGCTCCGGGCGGGAAGCCCGAACGTTGCAAACAAGCCTTTTTCGGGCAAGAAGACGTGTTCAGGAGCCGCTTTTGGAGCGTTTGCATGAGATGGGCAGCAAGCTTTCTGCCCGAAGCCAGGCAGCCGGGATATGCGCATTCGTTTCTCCCCAGAAGCGTAGGCTGCGAATTGTCGCAAGGCATCCTGGCAGCCGCAGCTCAGACAGGCCAAGTTTTCTCTGCGAACCTTCGAATTGGACCCCAGCTCTTCTGCGACTGGCAGGTTGTGGAGATGCTGAGCTAAAGGCTACAAACATTAGGGGACTGGGTATAGTGAGGACCCCCGTTGCAGAACAGAGGTCCTACTTCAAATTTCACTATGTCGTTGTAGTCGAGGGTTGGAAGAGCTGGTGATTTGCCGCTCGCACAAGCTTGTACAGAGCAAGTTGGCTTGCAGCCCCAGTGCAAAAAAGAGACACTTCCGCCTCTCACATGTTTGGTCCCCACCTGCTGAAAGCTGGTCCTGCACACAATGCCGGGCCACCTTCTCACAAGCTCTTGTGTGCGAGGTGCATGTTGCAGACTATGAGCAGAGTTTTGCGAGCCCATGAATTCCAACCACACAGCTTCAATCTCATCGCAGAACATGCTGCCAACCCCCAGCACGAGCCCCACCCTGGCTATCCCACTGCACCTTCTTCTTGCCATCGTCAGCCGAAGTCCGAAGTGCATCGGGAATGGCGGTTGTCGCTGATGCAGCAATTGGCAATGACAAGGCCGCTTGGTGAAGTGAAAAGCATAGAACAGAGGGACAAAGAAGAGAACTAGATGGAGCAGCGAGGAACATGAAGCCTCAGTACCGGCCGCATCATGCTCCAAAGGTGCCCTCGCAAGAACCCAACTGCGACCTGGAGTTGTTGCAAGAATTAGTGGGGCCAACTGGCGCTTGGCGAAGTTGGAGCTCCCAGCCCGGTGCTCATGGCCATTGCAGGAGACAGAAGAACACAGCGAGAGCCGAGTCCCCTGCCGCAAGGTTACACCATCACGATCCGGGCTTGGCTCAAGCGCTGGGCGCGTTCATCAGGCAGCCCTCTTTTACGAGTCACACAAGGCTCAAAACCGCAGCCATAGCTGCTTGGATGATGCAGGTACCAGAAGCCAAAGAAGGTCATTGACATGGGCTGCGGCTCCGGCTTCTACGTGCGAGCATTGCGCGCACGTGAAGTAGACTGCGATGGGTGCGGGTCTTGGCAAGGGCCCGCCGGCTTGCGCTGCACCTGGACCTGTTCACTGTCTAGGTTCGACGGGCACGAAGACACTGAGACTTTGACTGGTGGTCTCTGCTACTGCGCCGATTTCGCCTTTCTGGCATGGTGTTTTGCTGCTGGTGTGTGCCAGTTTAGGATTCGCAGCGAGATTAGCAACACTATAGGGAGATTTTGCAGTAATGAAGCCTTAAAGTTAAGACTAACGCCATGAGGAACCGCAACAACAGTAGGACCTAACGCAGGCAAGCCAATGTTAAGACGCCTCTCTTGAAGAGGGCTTCATCTTAGGATCCTTCTTCTGATCCCTCTAATGACCATGTGGTGAGACTTACAGGCAGACCCCGAGCTGCCGCTGAAGATTACCTCCGAAGGCACCAGCCAAGCCGGAAGCTGGTGAACACACATGCATCATACTCCTGTAAATATGTACGCAATGTATGTCATTGTAGCATTACGTATTGGGTCCCCGTCTCTATAAACCTACACAGTATTTGCAGCATGTCGAGGTGTGTATCTGGGTATCTATGTATCTATGTACCTATGCATATACGCATGTATGTATGTACGTATGTATGCAGGCATGTTATACACGTGGCAGCCGGCTCACATTGGGGTCTTATTGTCTATGAGCCATATGTTGATGGCGTCTTAACTGTCTTATTGCCAGCTTGCGAGAGAGCGCCCCGTCGTTTTTGTTCACGCCGTCGGCCAGCCTGGCGGCAGGATACGACTGGTGCATCTGTCTCGAAGTCTTCGAGCATGTGCCCAGAGCTCAGCGTGCAGCATTTTAGGCTTTTAGGCTCCTCCTGTGCCTCCTTGTGCCGGGGTTTCCGAGGCCTAAAGATCTGGAGGACAAGCTGGCGGGGAGCCGAATGCCAATCTTAGAGGGAATCCTTGGGAGCTTTCGGCGATGGTTCCCCAAAGGTGGATTGCCTCGTGGCCGGATCCGGAAAGGGCTTGGTGCTGTCTGTTGCGACTCCTGGCCAAGGAGGCTCAATACGAAACCGAGGGCTCGTAGTGGATTTCCTTTGTTGAGACGTCCGGTTGCCCCTTCCAAAGCCTCGCAGCAGGTCTCGGCCATGTGAACGAGCAGCCGCACGAGTACGTTATTCGACGCCTAGAGGAAGCGGCAACAGGAGAGAGTTCGTAGACCAAGCCTTACATGCCGGCTGGGAGGAGCGAGGCCTCGTCTTGGATCCCAATTCCCACCTGAGGCCTGGAATTCCGCTTTGATGGCTCCGAACTGCGCTGCCCGGGTTGCTGAGGCTCCGGCGGTACTGTCAGCTTCCCTGGTTCAGGGAAAACCTGCCCCAGCCCAAGAGTTCAGATGGAAAGTATGTGACAGTATGTGCCTTGTGCTTCAAACTTCAAAGGCTCTCTGGAATGCACCCTCAGGCTGGTGTTCCGGAAGCTAGACTCAGCAGACAGCTGCTCGGACCCCTCTTGAGCGCTCGCTATGGCTGTGCGCCAAAATGCTACTCCCGCGCTGGACGGCGCAGTTCCGGGAGTAGTGAGCAAGTGCGTGGATGCTGCCACGAACTGGCCGCAATGATCCACAATGGCTGAAGCAGCCTTCTGCAGGATGCTCGAGTGCGCAGATTATGGCACCAGGCAAGCAGGTTAGCTTACTTCTACATTTGATTATGTGCGCATGAGTACATACTGTCTCAGCAAGTATTGTAGGCGTAGTTACAGGCACGTTGTCGTTGTGTTGCCTCTAACTCCGCCTGTCCGAGCTCAGCAAGTGGCCATGGCGCCCCTCGCCGAGGTTGGTGTCGGGCCAGGGCTGCAGATCGCAGCAGTTAAACTGTGAGACCTGCAAATTGCAGATGCGCCTCTTCCAGCTGTCAGGCATTTGCCCTCGGAGTGTCTCCACCGTGCCTGCCTTCATCCAGGCCTCCCTGCCTGGCAAAAGGAGAATCAGAACATGTCAGAGCAATCATTGCTGTAACTTGTTTCTCTGCGCTGTGATCGATGGGGCGCACAGGCATAAATGGCAACTAGCAGCAGTTGCCCTCATGTCTCTTGAAGCAGGGTCTTTTTGCCAGGCTCGCCTCAAAGCCTAGGCGGGCAATGCACGAAGCTTCGGAGCCAGGCGAGAGGGAGAGGGCTTGCGAGATTGCCAGAGCTGCGAGCAAGCCGCGAGCCGAGGCATGCTGCCGTCGGCCCTCTCAGCAGCACCCTTGCTGATGGCGGGCATTGTGGTCCAGCGCAAGATGCAGGTCTTGGCTAGAGTTGCTCGTCGGAGGCGCGGGATGCACAAGCTTGGGCAGCTTGGGGACTTTCGTATCTTGCTGCACAAGCCGAGCCCCAAAGACCCCGGTCTGCACCTGGACCTCAGATGCGCCCGTGCTCGAAGACATGGCAAGGGGCTCCTGCCAGGCCGATGGCAAGCGCTGGGGCTGCCGTCGCCATGAGGGCCAGGGGCCCTTGCCATGAGTAGCAATTGGAAAATGAGGGTGACAGCATTTGGTCATGACATTCAAAGTGCGCTGCCACCACGGCCGCTTCCAATGTGTCCGATGTCGCCATGACACCATCAGCATGTTGCTCGTGTCAAGACGAAACCAATCCACTCTTGAGAGACATCTGATCCGCTGGCATGCCGAGACTGGCAAGAACTTCGATCAGGCGGCGCCGCAGGAAGAGCCGAACGTGGCACAAGAAGCCGAAGAACCTCAGGCAGCTGTCACAACAGCAGCCCTGGGCTTTTGGGACGAGTGGAGGAGCGACCATGCGCTGCAGGAAACGCCCCCTGCTCCTGACACGGCCGACGACAGAGCCTGGGCTGGCTGAATACATGCCATAGCATAGAGCTTGTGCAGGATTGAAGAGGCATGAAGAGTCGCAGCTCCAACGAGGTGCGGCTTTGTCCCAGCGGCTGCGGCAGCGGCTCGCTTCTACAATTGCGGACCAGGAGGCCCAAGTGGAGGCGTGGAGGTCTCAAGAGTTTTCCGGCAAGCGATCATTGAACCATATTGAAATACAGTCTTCAGAATAGGCTTGCTACCCAGCATGTCCATGAGCGCAGCATATCGTACACTTGGCTGCAGGCTGTGCCAACCGAGGATCAGAAGCGGATTGCATTCCTGACATGTTGGCTGCCATGTTTACCGTTTGCAGATACTGCAGTCTTGTGGGGAGGATGCTATCGCTTGGCAGGTTCAGCAGGAGGTTGACCTGAATGGTATCGATCCGACAGCCACGGGCTTGGCAAGCAAGAAGTAAAACTACCATCTCTGCAGCGGTTGTCCCGCGAGGCCTGCTTTGTAGGGGCAGCACCTGTCGCCGCTTTGAGCTACGGCTTCTGGACCTTCACGTCGCGATCGGCCGCACTTTGACTGCACAATAGTACCGCCGGTCGGATATAGCCATGTCTCCTTACAGTCAGTTTGTCCGACTTCCTGATGATTTGATTGCTGGCTTGCGGACTTTGCGGCTACTTATTTGTAGAGCTGCGATCGATGCAAGGAGTGGTTCTACAATCACCCAGTGGTGCGCCCTCGGCAAAGTCGCCACAAACCGTAAGCGAAGCCCCAAGACCGCACAATCTGCGCTGACAGGAGAGCGATTTCTACCCCGTTCAGCGGCTGGGGCGCCTCTGCTGACATGGATCCTCCTGACTCCTGACGGTGCTGCCTCAACCAACTCTGCCTCGTGAGCTTCCGGTGATGTTTCGAGGTTTGTCTTCCAAGCCGCCGTGGTCGGTCTGGGTGCCGAGTTGCTGGCGGGTAGGAAGCGGCGTCCTGTGGCGGTAGGGTTGCCCTTTGTGTTAAGCTATGGAAATCCTTGCGCAAATGGGCAGATGGATGGAGCTGCTGAACGTGTTTGTTTGGCTGTGCGTGGGCACTGAGGCCTGAGCTCCCTAGCTTCCGGCATCTTCGGCTTCACAGCCTTGGGCATTTTCTTGCTGGGTGCTGCGCTGAGAGGCTCACCCCCAAGTCCCTTTTCGTGCACCGGGATTCTGAGGCGTGCGGGTCAGTATTGGTGCGGGGGCCTCAGAATGTGCAAGAGACGGGAGTTTACAAATTGCGGACGAAGCAGAGAAGCGATCGTTTGCCTTCCCTGGCAATCTCTCTCACTTCTCGGCTTCCGCGTTGCGTCGTGCGAGGTGTTGTCTGGTGAATTGGATCCGGCAGACAAAAGCAAAGGGCTAGGCGCGAGCGGACTTCGACAGCAGGACCGGGCTTGTCTGTATCGGGGCAGGAAAACGGTCCACGGCTGAAACTGCATGGGCCCTGGCAGCCATTCGACTGCTGCCGCTGTGCTTCCGTGAGTCTCGTCGGGAAGTTCTGCTTCGCCGTTGTTTCCGGACAGACGCGTCCTTCATACGAGAATCGACTGGCAAGTAGTCTCCTTGTTGATGGCCTTGTCATGGCTTGTCCCAGTTGATTCCCAGGTCTTGGATGTGTTCACAAAAGATCCAGTGGAGGCACGAAGTGGCCGGCCGTTCGACCTCAGAATCGCTACTAGAATCTTGGGCCAGCGTCAGGTCGTGAAGGCGGAGAAGGAGCGAAAGAAAGCAGAGCAGCTCCCCGGCATCCAATCTGCATGCTGCCGCATGCTTTTCCGCATCATGCCTGCTCTGTGCGGCAGAATTGCCAGTCCCTGCTTTGGGTTTGACACTCGCATGGCACCTCCCCCTGGTTCAGGTTGAGGAGGGATGCTGCAGCATAGCGGCTCTGCGCATGAGGAAAGAGCTTCTGCATCGCAAGGGTCCGGCATGTTGATTCACGCAATGCTACTGTACTGCACACCAACTTTTTTCGTGATGGAAGATGGGCTCAAAGCTAGCCTCGGATTCATGGGAGTGGACTTAAGACCGGCGGCTGCGGCTCGGCAATCATGGAGGCATGTGGAAGGCATCTTCATGCAGGCCTGAAGCTGAAGCAGAAGGCAGCACAAGCCAATGGACAGCGCTGGAGAGAGTCAGCGAGGACCTCTGGTGACCTGAGAGTCTCTGAAGCTTCAGACCTCCGAAGACGGTCGGGAGCCTTCGGCTTGATCCCGAGATGTTTCATGGCAGCCAAGCTCTCCAAACGATGCACAAGGAAAAGCCAGAAGGATGCGAGAAGAGGGCTAAATCAGCCAAGTCGAAAGTATCCTGGGTTGTGGTGGGCATGCGTTGCCGCATTGCCAGGGACCTTTCAGTATGGCTGGGCCTTGTCAGTGATCAATGTGCCGCAAAGCAGTATTTGCGCATCGCTGGCTTTGGCGGACAGCTCATTCGCATGGTCGCTTTTGGTGGCCATTCTGTCGCCTTCTGCACTTCTTGGGGCATGGTTGGGGCCAGCAGTCGTGCGTCGCTTCGGGTTGGTGAGAGCCCTCCGCAGCACCGCAGCCTTCTTTGTGATTTATGGGCTGCTCTTTCCTTTGTCGGCGAAGGCCGCGAGCAGCAGTTTGTCTCTGGCCTACGGGCTTTTTGCACTGGGCCGGATAGTTGCAGGCATTGGAGGTGGAGCAGCAACTGTGTTTGTCCCGCTGTATTTGGGGCAGATTGCTCCACTGGAGCTTCGTGGAGCCATCGGCAACTTGCATCAGGCGGGGATCCAGGCTGGGAGAAGTTGTCCCCGGGATCGACTGGCCCGCTCCTGCCAGGTCGCCATCGTCTTCGGGCTTCTGGCCGCGCAGCTGGCCGGTGCTTCGTTGTCCTGGCCCTGCGCCCTGGCCCTTGCCGCTTCTTTCGGCATAGTCCAGAGCTCCTTACTCGCTTGGCGTCGCCATGGCCACCGAAGTTTGCCATGCAATGTCGACATGCTCCAGATGCCAGGATTCTTCTCATGCCGCGGCTTCTAGGCGTCCAGGAGCAGCGCGCCCAGGTCGGAGAAGCTGTGCCATGGTGGCATGACGCTGTGAGCTGTAACATGCGAGGAGTACGATGGGACCGAAGCGATCGGAGCAAGCACGGGCTTCCAAGCGCTGCTGACAGACAGCCGAGTGCGTCGGCCTCTGCACATGGCGATCATCCTTATGGCGCTGCAGCAATACAGCGGCATCAACGGAATTTGGTTCTATAGCACAGAATTCTTTGCACGTGCGGGGCTCTCCAACCCCCTCGCCGGCACACTTCTTTCGTCATTGGTGTTCATGCTGGCGACGTTTCTGTCCGTGCCGCTAATTGAGAAGGCCACGCAAGTAACCGTGCAGCACAATATGCTCACTCACTCACTCACTCACTCACTCACTCACTCACTCACTCACTCATGTGTACATACATACATATATATATATACATATATACACACACGTGTAACATACATACACATATATATATATATAGATATAGATATGCATACACGTATACACACACGTTTTAAATATATTGTATGTACTATTTTGTTGTCTGTCTATCTCATCTGGTCTAACCTCATCCCATCATCTAGTTCAATCTAACCTACCTATCTATCTACCTATGTATCTATCGACCTTTCTAGATCTAGGTCTCCCGATGCTCGGCCTGTGTCGCAGGCGGGGCGGCGGGCTCTAATGCTGCGAGGGCAGGCAGGGGCGCTCCTGTCACTGTCCCTCCTGACGCTGGCGCTCTGCCTAAAGTCGGTGGCCTGGCGACAATCAATTCGGAAAGTGTGCTAACAGTAGTGCAGAGCCTGGTGCCATGGAAAGGTGGGTTGCCTCGTTACCTTGCAGAGCTACCTCAACATGCTAGTCGTGACGGCAGTACTTGGGTTCGTGACGTCCTTCGCGATAAGTCGCTGGGCTGCGACTCAGTGGACTAGCTATCGCTTTGCTGCGTCTGTCTCTTGCCCCTTTGCAAGGCTTAGGGCCAATCCCGTGGCAGATTGCGAGTCTTGGCGCAAAGAGATGGTGCATCTCTGGCCCAGTTAAGTTGGGATCCCCAGAAGTTTGCGGAAGTGAGTTCCTCCTGGATCAGGAATGAAATCTTTCCTCTCCGCTGCCGGGCGGAGGCCTGACCAAAGAAGACTTTGACGAATATCGACTGAAGTTTTGGTCGATGTAAATCTGCCCTCGATCGGCCTGCAGTACAAGCTGTGACGATGCTTCTCACTCGCGCCAGGCGCAGTGCCTCATCGCTTCGTCACCTGGCTTCCGAAGATATCCGAAGATGTCGATGGATCAAAACCTCAGCAACTGACTGATGGGGTCGAAGCCCAGGTTCTGTGAGGTCTTCAATGCTAGCGTGGCTCTGGGCTTTCCTGTGGCTGGCTTGCACCAGATCTCGAATCGTAGCTTGCCGTCTGCACTGGCAACATGCGAGGTGTTGCAGCGCTGCCTGGGATCGCAGCTCGCGTTTGCACCGAGCGTTCTGGCACCCTTGCAGAATCAACCCAACTTGGTGTAACACCTTTGTCCTCAGTCCACTTGACATTTGGCAGTTCGAGGCCTCATGTGTTTCGGCACCTGAGCACCAGACTAGAGCAAGCATCAACGTCGGACTTTCTGCTGCTTCGGGCAGTCATCTCGCTCTGCGGTTTGGTGTCTGCCTGAGGCGGGGCTGGGGTCAAGATTCGAGTTGTTCCCGAGGTCCTCCTCGCTGGCATTCTAGTTGTCAAGAAGAATCTGCCGGTGTTGGCCCCAGCTTACAAGTGAGGAGGTGCCTTGAGAGACAACCTGTGCAAAAACGGGACCGAGGAAACCAAGAGCCGAGAGGTGGAGGATATCTTAGCGGACTTTAATCGGCGAACGTGATTTCTTTCAGATGTGGAAAATGGCAAAGACCGTTGCGCACATGAGATATGGTGTTTGCTCTTGGCGGGTTCTCTCCTTTCTCTAGGGCCTATGCAGTCACAACATAGACGCCGCAGCCACTGCTTGCCCAACAAAGTCCAGCACCGCGCCCTGCGCGAGAGCCTCTCAGCTGGAACAAGTTGCCGTGGTGAAAGGCAAGTGGTCCATGTTGTCGCAATCGCCAGCACCTTGCAAAGCCTCTCTTGTTGGCACGAGTTCGCATTGCATGTTTTGGGGCTGGCTGTCAGGAGCAAGCTTGCATTTTTCCGAGAAGAGTTTTGTCACAACGATGTCGGATCTCGTGCCAAAGCCGGTGCTTTGGGACACTGGTCAGGTTGCCGTATGGCACCACATGTCACAACTGTTTGATTGGGTACCCCTGAGGTTGGGCTTGTTCTGAGCTCGTCACTGTGTCGTGTTACAGGAACGCAAGAGTAGTTTCGTACATGCGGCTTCCGCAAGCAGACTGTGGGATGCCGTACTGTGTTTTTCATGTACCAGTCGAAGAAGATGAGGAGAAGCCAGGTATCAGATTGCAATTAGGTCACTAGCAGTATGAGAGATATGAGAGATTCCTGATTAAGGTGATATTGGCATGACAAAGCGGACAAAGCGTTTCACTTGTGTAAATTCTCCAGATGGCGAAAGGTGTGCAAATGCCGCCCGAGAGCCCGTCTTCCAAAAAAGGAAAGTCGATTTTACGCATGTGGTTATCAATCAAGGCTCTCACCGTATTTGGTGGCGATGGTGGTGGTGATTAGTGGTGGAGGACTAGTACGAGTACTACTAGTGCTAGTAGTACTCGTAGCGACTAAGAGTGCTGGCAGTCCTAGTAATTCTCGTAGTTCCAGCAGCACAAGTAGCGCTTGCAAAAGTTACGGTGGTAGCTTTAGTATAGGAGTGGGAGTCGGAGTAACAGAGGCAGCAGGAGGAGGAGGAGGCGGAGTAGTGGTGGCGGTGGCAGCAGCAGCCGGAGGAGGAGGAGGACGAGCAGGAGGAGTAGTTAGTAGTTAGCAGTAGTAGAAGAAGTAGGAGAAGTAGCAGTAGTAGTAGCAGCAGTAGTAGCAGTAGTAGCAGTAGTAGCAGCAGTAGCAGCAGCAGTAGTAGTAGCAGTAGTAGTAGTAGTAGCAGCAGTAGTAGCAGTAGTAACAGTAGTAGCAGTAGTAGCTTAGTAGCAGTAGTAGCAGAAGCAGTAGCAGTAGGAGGAGGAGGAGGAGGAGGAGGCAGCAGCAGCAGTAGTCGCAGTGGCAGTAGCAGCTTACGCAGTATCCACGCACCATAAAAATACCTAAAACGAGCATCGCGTGTTTTGCAACGGTGGACTAATGTTAGCATCAGAGGTTCTGGCACTAGAACTTTCATTGGTTGAAGCTTCTCAAGGCCATGGCGGCCCCGCGAACGCGGACGGGCAGCGGCGGCTCGAGCAACGACTTCAACTTCAGGGCAGCAGGCTTTCAGGGTGTTGCTGTTGTTGCCGTAGTGGCGGTTGCTGTCGTCGTCCTGACGACGATAGTTCCCTTTGTGTTGTGGTTTTGGGGCTTCGGGTTTGGAGTTTGGTTGAAGTTTGTCTTGAAACCCCAAGCCCGAAGGCTTTTCCTAGCTCGAAGATTCCAAAGCACTAATTCCGGTCACGATACCACGCCATGGTTTGTGATAGGTGCTTCGGTTGACTTCTGAGCTCCTGAGGTTGATTGCTAGTCGAGGCTGGGGGTTGTTTGGTGGCAGCTTTCCAGCAAGCCTCACGAACGGATAAGGTCCCCATTTGCAGGCTTCCCAGCATGCACGGATCCAATCACAGCGATGACTCTCCTCTGAGCTTTTCTTTTGTGGTTCTCTCCCTCTTTTGCTGCCTCCTGCTGTGTTCGACGGTCCGGTATGTTCGCAGGATCAAAGACCGAAGCAGCCATAAAGGAAGCAGGGCTCTTACCCGCAGCTCTGCAAATGTCTAGATTCTAGATTTGGTCACTCGCAGAATAGAGGAGGGTGTCCTCTCTCTTAAGACCTGAGTGTCCCAGATGGAGCACGGCGTGCACAAGTTCTTCACTGGCATGGAGGAGTCCCTGAGCAAGATCACCAGGCACTCAAGAGAGCAGAACGTTGAGTGGAGTGAAGATCCTTCACGAGCGCATTGACCTGCATAAACTCGACGATTCGCCCGCTTCGACTTCAGTGCACATCTGGGAAGCTGCGATTTCTTGGGATCCGAATTGCAACGTGGCGCTAGGCCCAGTTGGCTTGGCGGTGGCAGCCTTGCCCTTAGGGATTGAAGGGCCTGGAGTCCAGGGGTTGACTGACGTGTGTGAAATCTGCCCAACAGACAGCACAGTCACATGTATCCATGCTCATGCATGCGCCAAAGTTGACTCAGGTGGCCCTTCTAAACACGCTCCCGCACCACCAGTTGTGCATAGCAAGCAGGCAGACGATGGTTGCGCAAGTGCGCCCAGACACGCCGACGAGAAGTATGCCCGCAGGAACACCACACACCGACCCCAAGTGGTGAAGATGATAGCACCATGCGGCCGGGCACCCGATGAGCATAGGCCAGAGGCGGCTCCTCGGCGTCATGTCGCAGACGTCGCGTTTCAGGCACCACTGCGCCGCTTTGGAGCGATTAGTGGAAATGGGCCTCTCGCCCCAGGCAGGATGCAACAAGTGACTGCTTCACGACAAGACTCCCAGCTCTGCGTAGCTTTACTGTAATTCACTCCTGGTTAGCTGTGCCTGATCTTGAGGCAGCGAAGGTTGCCGTCCGACATTTGGATAGCTGGCTGGTCAGCGAGGTTGGCCGGGTCCAGGTAGAGCAGTTTTCCAGTCAACTTTTGCGCCAGGATGGTCGATCGGAGATGGCCGTGGCGGAAGCAGAAGCAACCAGCACGGGAGAAGCAATCTTGCATGCCCGTGCCTCGAGATGAGACAGCCCGAGCGACAGAGTTCGCGAGCCCGAGTCTGGAGCAATCTGAGGTGCACGACCAAGTTCGCCTGGAGGGGCTTGTCAAGAACAAAGGCAGGCACTCCCCAGAAAGGCCCCCGCAAAGCACGTGCACTGCCGCTTCTGCCCGTCCAGGCACCAACGGCATGTGCTGTACTGAGCTTCTCTCGCACCGCACATCATGCACTGAACGGAAATAGTATCAGCCTTCAGGATGGGCACGCTGGAAGCTTACGGTGCTGAAAGCCACCGCTGGAAGGTTCGTTTGACAGATGACCAGGCGGGTGTTTGGGGCTCCAGCGCTATATCGGAGGAACTGGCTCTTCATTGCGAGGTCTTTTGGATCAAGCCGAAATTGCTTCGGCCTTTGAAGATGCAGCGCTTGACCGCCACGTGAAGATGCAGAGCCAGGAGCCTTCAGAATCATGTGGTACCTCCAGCCTGCCAGGGATGCCGCTGCCTTTGCCAGATCCGTCACCGCCGGAGCACACAACAGGCGAAGACGAACAGGCGAGGTCTTGAATTGATCGCGGTTGACAAGGGAGCGAAGTCAAGTCCAGACCACGCTCCTGAAAGCTGGTGCTTTTGCAGCTGCTCAAGCGCGAGCATCACGAGATGAGGAACGCAGCATGCAACACGCGTGTGTCAACTGATGTCCACTGCAAGAAAAGGTGAAAGGGTTCTTGATAGCATAGCTACAGGTCTGGGAAGGGCGAAAAAGTATAAGTATGCGTAGTCCCAGCCAAAGGAGCAGAACCCGTTGCTGCATCGACGCCAGGGTGGACGAGGGGCACCTTAGAGGATGGGCTGTGAAGTTAGAGTCAGTAAGTTACACACATCCACAAAAGAAAAATCGGTTTGCGCCGGGAAAGATGCATGTGATTTTATGCGTGCATATGCACTGAGAGACCAGTGACTTGGTAAAGGTACTTGGGTTATATTATCCTACTTGCTACCACTAGGTCCTAGATCCCCTGATATACACGGATAAATGGCTTGGCCTCGGCCTCCTGGCGCTTCGGTGGTGCCCTTGGCTGGCGGGTTTGGTGCACGAGCCGCAGCTGCAGGGGTGCGAGGGGAGCAGGATGTCCAGGGTTCGGACTTAAACGCTGGACTGAGCACACAAGCAAGACAGAGAGAGGCTTAAGCTTTGCGGCTTGACGAGTTTTGGTTCAAAAAGAGGATTGAAGGCTCCAGGGGCATTGCATTGGAAAAAGCACGCAATTCGGGTGTGAAGGGGGTTTGGATGCCGCGAAGTGGCCGGTCTCGCATCGCAGTCATGGCAGTAAGGGCAACAGTCGAGTCCCTTGTGAAAAAAAGGGGGTTTGGATGTCGGGTTGGCGAGAGGCAATTCTGCAACACACGTGCTTTGTGACGCGCCAAGGTCAGATAGAGGGTTGGCAACAAACGTAGACTCTGAACTTTGTATCTTTCCTTTATCCAAACCGAAGAGTGCGCATCAGCTTGACGATTGCCTTACTGCCCTGAAGGCTGTGAAGCTCTACCGTTGACTCCGGGCGTGTTTATCTGAAATAGAATAGGTCTGCAAGATCGGAGAATCACTTGCTTGGCTTTCCGTTGAGAACCTACCGACTTGGGTGTTCAGAGATTGAAGAGTGAGTCGTACCACCCCAGAGCCTTACACCGCACCAATTCACGACTCCCAGATCTCAGAAGCCCAGGGCTGCAGCTGGATGGACAAAGCTACGAGATCCGATATGGGCCAGGGCAAGACTTCGAGACTCCGGAGGACTTCTTCGCACCTTGCCGGGCAGCCCTCAGAGAGCCGCCCCTGAGCTGATTTGTGCCTGAAAAAAAAACGGGGCTCCCATTTCCTTAATGATACACCCTTGCTTCAGACTTATTTGACGGATCCCTGATTATAATTAAGGAAGTGCTCCGAAATTTTGGGGTTTCGGCTTCGCGAGGGTTTACAGAATCGCTGATGCAAGCCGGGCAAGGTGCGAGGAAATGTTGCGAGTTGTGGAGGCACTCGGAGTCTTGGAGTCTTTGCAGCTGGATGCACACGGAACCTTGCGCGTGGCGCTGCCTTTCTGCGGCAGCATGCACTTGGGCTGCACGAGGCATGCAATTTGTGACGGTGGATTGTTTCTGACCCTCCGTTCCAACTGTGCGTTAGCATGCCAAGGCAGGAGTTGCCGATCCTGGCCCACTTTCTGGCAACACGCTGCTCAGGCTCGGAATCTGAAGACATCTGAAGACTCGGAGTTTGTGTGTTGACGGAAGTGTCACGATGCTTTGGCACCGGTGGCGATGCTCAGGCCTCCGCAGTTGTGCAGAGGCGGCAAGGAGTCCTTTCCTCCTCCTCTCAAGCTGCGCAGGTCGGCAGGGAGTGGCCAAGATCTCCATCCTGGCATCAGATGTCCAGGACTGGGCGCCGCTTGGAGGCTATTGGAAACAGAAGGAGACGTACGTCAAAAGATGGTACCCGCACATGGACCTGAAGTTCTGCCAGCTGGATTTGCATGCCCTTCGGCACCCACCCTCATCACTGACCTTTGCGTTTCATCCGGAATGCACAGTTCACAGAGACTTGTGGCGCCGGATCCTGCACAACGTCATCTCTGCCAGCGCTGTGTGTATTGTGTGCACCTTCAACGATGAGGAAAGGAAGGCAGGCAGTGCAGCGGGGAAGAGGAGTTGGGTTGACTCTTCACTGGGGCAGCGGTACTGCAGCTGTTCAGCACTACAGGTGGTTCTTGGTGTTTGCCAAGACTTGGGCCGACAAGCCCAGTGTCAACGAAATCCTTACTATGCGAACTCGAAGCAAAATGGCAGCTCAGCCGCAGACATAGCTTCAGCAGGGGGTCACCATGCAGCTGCGCGCCAGCATTGTATGCTCTAAGGAACGACGCCGCCTTTTCTCAACTTCTTGATTCTTGTGCGCTAGGGTGAAAGAGTTCTTGCTTCCACAACCTTGCTCCGGCTGAAGATGCCTGCCGTATGCTGTAATGAGCACGGGACAAGGAATGCAGTGCCGGAGAGCAGCGGCTCGAATTGTCAACGGTTGCGCTCTGTTGAACATGTTGCACATGATGTAGCAGGTTGTCTGCACCCGCCAGCACCAACATCTGGGATTAATTACGCCACATACACACCGACGGACTCGTTCAGACGGGGTGCTCGCGATTTTGCTGGCTGGTAGCTGTGATTTTGCTGCCCCATTCATGGATTGCCAGACAGATTTCCCCAATGGTACTGGGCAATGCGCTCAGCTGCAACTTGGGCTGCCTTTTCAGTTCCTTTCGAGAGCAGACCTTCATATGTTAAGCAGAAATCGCGAGCAAAGGGGCGGATTGGGCTGCTCCTGCTCTGGAAGCTTGGCTCCTCATCAGTTGAAGCAGTGCAAGGTTGACTTCTGTCGTGTCACTGGAGGTGGAAGCAGCTCCAGTCGGCTCTGGGCTCGGAGGCTCTGCTCTTTCGAAGGGGAGCGCAGTGAAAGCCGAATGCGCCAAAGAGCAGGAGGCCCAGAGTTGCCCGGCTGGCAGCCCGAGGCCCCGTTCTTTACATGTGCGACCTTTCAAGACTCCGGTGAGCTCCCTTGCAGAGGTGTCTCGGAAGCTGCTCTGGTCGGGTCCTCGTGGTGGGAGCCGGCCTGGCAGGCTTGGTGTCAGCTCAGACGCTGCAAAGGGCAGGCTGTGGCTTGACACTCGAAACGAAGCAAAAGCCTGAGAGATCCGTGAGGGTAGGGCATTAGATTCCATGAGATTGTGATGTGAAGGTTCTGCGTAGAGTGGATGATGGGAAGCGAGCTGCTGGCTGCTACCCAGGTGAGGTTGTGGTTCTGGAAGCCCACGGCCATGTCGGTGGAAGAGCTGCTGCGCTTCAGACGGGGCCGTTCCGAGGCTTCGATGCAGGCCCCGAAACTTGCTGGAGGTTTGATGGCGCACATGCAGAACGCATGGTGTGTCCGTATAGAACTATATTATTTATTTAAATAAATATAAATATAAATATATAAGTATATAAATATATAAATATAAATATAAATATAAATAAATATATATATATGTATATATACATACATATACATATATATATATATGTATATATATAAACACAGATAGAAATAACATACACACGTGCATGTATGTATGCATGTATGTATGTATGTATGTATGTCCGTACGTACGTAGGTATTTACGTATGTATACGATTGTATACGTGCATTCATGTATGTATGTATGTATGTATGTATGTATGTATGTATCTATGTATCTATGTATGTATGTATGTAATGCAATGCCATGTAATGTGATGCGATGTGATGTAATGTTTTGTTTGTATGTATGTATACGTACGCATGCAGGCAGGCATGCATGCCTGCATTTGCAGTATGTTTGTGAAAGCAGTTGAATCTAATCCGTGGGCGTGGAAGACTTTGTAGGGAACGATGCTCACAGAATCCCATGCAAGGATGGCAAAAGCGAGGTAAGCAAACAGATGCGTAGATGAAAGCCTTGGCAGGCGCGCAGTGGGTCCATGGTGGAGAGACTTTGGCCATTCTTAGAGGAACGAGCCCGGAGATCAGGGAATGTCCAGTGTCTTTCTGAGTCGTTCTGCATACAACCAAGGAGGAAAATCTTCCCATCATGGCGCTGGCACGCTTCTTCAATCTTACTGTGGAGCAGGTCGGTGGCAACACGGATTTCGAAGGCCGTCTTCTCAGCAGGTCCGAAAACACATCGAGCTTGCACCAGCCATTTCTCGTATGGCCAAGGAGACCACGAGAGGCATCGGCTGTTTCTTGCGCACGGACCGAACGAGGACGTGAAGGCAGAGGCCACTCCAAGCAAAACTTGCTTTGAAGGGGCTTGTGGTGACATATTGCCCGTCCTTGCGGCCTAACCGGGTATCTGCTGAGGCTTTCCGGCGGTATCTCGAAGCCAAACGGCAGTTCGACCGGAGAGTGAGTTGGGTCATTGCAAAGCAACGGCGCGACCTGGCACTCAGAGACTTGCCAGACATCCGGGCTGCCAGGGCCTTCATGCTAATCCAATCTCTGGTGCCTGTTGCGTGAGATAAGGATCCGCATGGCAGCTCATCCTGAACCGAAGCTTCGCCCCTCAGCTGCATGGAGAGACTGCGTTGTCGGCGCAGGCCCAAGCATTGCCTTTAGACTTGTCTTGGCAGTTGCACTAAGGACCCCCTATTCGAGTGGCAACTGCGTGTCCGCAGCGAGCAGAGCTGGGGCATCAGTCCAGAACAGGTGGGGACACGACTCTCCGAGGTGGCTGTCTACAGACGCTCGTCTCCCTTTGGCTTCGTGCTTGCGCCGGTGTAGCTACAAAATTGATAAGACGTGCAGAAAGGAGCGAGTTTGCTCAGGCACCTTTTATTCCGATGCGTCGCGGCTGCACTTAATTGGAGACTTTGGATGCGATTCTCACCACGCCTTCCGGTGTGCGGATACAGCCTCATGCGCAACGGAAGCAACCTTGTCAAGATGCGAGACCACACAACGAACACGAATGCAGAGAGTGCAATCGTAAATGCCTGACACTTGACCTGGACTTTTCCCACTGTCGTTGAACCCGCTGCAGGCCGCGCCAGGCGATGCAAAGCTGCGACTTGGCATGGATTCTATGCCTGCTTGCACAACTGGAGTTGCGAGGGCCAGCGGCGATCCTTCGTAGTACATGGCCACATTTTTGTCCCTCTTGCAAGGATCGGCGGCTTCGGTGCCTCAGCCACGGTAGACAGCTATTTTTGGGGATTTTTGGGCTTTGCATGCGGTCGTGATGCAAGCAGAATCAAGCGGAATCTTGTCATGAACGATTCCATGTCAAGCATCATTGGTGATGTTGTCACTGCGAAGCAGGAACGCAAGGGCACAAACTGAGTACCCACTAGGATCCATTAGATATGCAGTGATCATGAATAAAGATCAGGGGGTTGTTTTCATGGTTAGGAGGTTAGAACTGAAGCCTGTCGTCTTTATCACTGTCATGATAGGCCAGGTGTTAGCATCGTCGTCATGCCTGCACCGGCTATAATACTACACGCTTCAGCATCGAGCTGCCATGCCGGGAATGCTAAGTGCGACAGTCTGGACGAGTTTAAAAAAATGCCAGCAGCTGTCACAAGCACCGGGTGCAAGCCGTGAGGCAGTCTGGTGCGGGAGTTGGCCAAGGGCTTGAATGTGCGATTCAACACCACGGTGACCTCTATATCTCTGGAGGGTGCAGTCTCAGTCCGTACGGCAAATGAGACCTACCGAGGCATCGGGCTGCACATGCTGCCTGCTCGTGGTGATGCGGAGAGTTTGTGCAGCCACGAGGGCGGCAGCAGCACATGTTGCAAGGCGCAGCAGTGGTCGTGGCCGTTCCGTTGCCCATCTTGCAGCAGAAGATGCACCTCCAGCCGCCGATGTCTAGTGACTGGAATGCTGCCTCGCAGCACATCAGGTGAAGCAGCATATCGAAGCTGGATGCACAGCAGCAGAGGCAGCAGTTTGTTTGTAGTCGCCGATAAGTGCAGGCATCTTTGCACCGTGCCTTGGAAGCATACATGCCATCAAGCACCGAAAGTCGCGCTCTTGCTGCGGCTGCTGCGATTGGCCGGTGCAAACCGTTGGTTCAGCAAATGCGAAAGCTTCCGAGGCTTGCAGATGGGGGACATCGCCAAACTGTTCATAAAGTTTGCGGGTGGGCAGTCTCCCGAGGGCCTCTTGTCCAATCAAAGCTTCACATCTTGAGGAAGGTGGAATTCAGGAAGGTCCAGAGAGCGAGCCCCTGAGCGACCTACCTTGAGCGTCCTTAGTCGCATCGATTTCATGTGGATCCTTGCAGACACTCGGGGGAAGGCTCCGGGGAGGGTCGCATCAACTTTTCCTAAATCCATGCCAGTACTTGGTGTTTGCCATGATTCGTTGAGCTGTTATTATGCCAAGACGGTTTGGTTACTTCTTGCCTGGAAAGCCATTTTGGCTTTGTTCCAATGGCTATATGGTTTCGGGTAGGGTTTTCCAGAGCAGAAATAATGGCTTCGATAGTGTCATTTAGTTCAGAAACTCCGTATGCCTTGGTCGCTCCCGCTCTGTTTGGATCCTTGTAGTCACTGGGGGAACGATTTCAGAGAAGTCTCTCAAGTGGGCACTTGTGGAATCGAGCGTCTAGATGGGGACTGGCTGGTTTTGATGTGGTCTGCTGCCACTGATGTGCGTCTCCATTGGGCACTTGTGGAATCATGCGTCTAGATGGGAAATGGCTGGTTTAGGTAAT